CTGCACAGCAACTCTAGATGTTATCGTAATGCGTGCCATTAGCCCAGGAAAAGATCACAGTACCAAGTTTGAAGTATGGCTTGTACTGACTGCATGAACTCCTGCACCATGGTAGAGTTAAACCAGAATTGGAGTGTATGTTGTTTTGGTGTGCACTGCAGAGTATTACTGGTGGACCGTGGGTTATTTGCAGCCTTTTCTTGTAGGTTTATAAATAATGCAGCCAGTGCGTGCCTCATTTATAAACACTTGTACATTTCTTTTCATTTCTTACTTTTACTCAGTTTCAGACTTACTTATTTTATGTGTATGAGTGTTTGTCTGCGTGTGTGTGCTCACTGCATGCGTTCCTTGTCCCTTGAAAGTCAGGAGAGGACGTCAAGTCCTCTGGAATGGGAATTACAGATGGCTGTGAGTCACCACATGGTTCTGGGAATTGCAGCCATTACTCCAGCTGCTCCATTTCCCTTATGTCACTTAAAAATAAGTTATTTGGTCATTTTCTAAGTATATATTTAACCTTATAAGAAATTGTCAAGTGTTTGTTTCTTTCAAGACAGGATTTCTCTGTGTAGCCCTGGCTGCCCTGGAACTTGCTCTGTAGACCAGGCTGGCTTCAAACTCGAGGTCTGCCTGCCTCTGCCTCCTGAGTACTGGGATTAAGAATATGCCACTGGGGTGTTAGGGGGAGTGTGCACACCTTTAGTCCCAGGCAGAGGCAGGCAGATCTCTATGAATTCAAGGCCAGTCTGGTCTACAGAACTGGTTTCAGGATTGACAGGTCTACACAGAGAAACCTTGTCTTGAAAAACAATAAACATTATAACAAAAAAAATGTGTGCCACCACACTTGATTGTTTTATTTTTTTTTTTAAATCAAGATGGATGGCTTCTGGAACACAGCATTCATACAAAATAAAAAAGAGGGGAGGTGTCTTAATGACTACGCTATTTTAAGGAGTCGGGAGAGGTCCCTCTGAGTCTGTACAGGACACACCAAATTTTCAGTACAAAACTTTATTGCCTAAGGAGTGTATGTGAGGTGGTGTCCGCCTCTGAATCCCACAAAGGCAGACAGCAGGCATGAGGAGTCTTTTGCAGGAGCTGGTTTTTAGGGAGAAAAAGGGGAAGTCTGTGCTAGGGTGAGTAGGATGAGTTGGTGAGTCCTGATTGGACAGGTAATGGATTTTGATAACAGGGACCTTGGTGTTTAGTCTTAGGAATGAGTCAGTGGCCAAATAAGAGAATGGATCTTGAGGACTAGCTTTAGAAATATAATCTGTTTAGCAAGAGAGAAAGAAAGGCAAAGCCTGTCTGCCGTGTTTGCCATGCTCCGGCCTGAGTTTGCCATGCTTGAGCTTGCTAGAAAGAGCCCTTCGCTGTTGCTGTGAAGACACACCATGCTGAGGCAACTCTTGTAAAAGGAAGCATTTACCTGGGGACTTGCTTACAGTCTCAGAGGTTAGTTCATGATCTTCAAGATAGGAACCAGACAGGCATGGTTCTGGAGCAGCTTGGAGCTTTATACCTGATCCTCACGGGGGGTGGGGTGGGGGACACATGATGACCACAATTGACAATGACACTGGACGCCTCCCCCAGCATAGCCACACCTACTAATTCTTCCAAACGGTCCATCAGTTGGGGACAACGCATGTTTATAAAGGGCATTCTCGTTCAAACCACCACAGGAGGGTAGACAGAAAAACTTTCAAAGTGCTACAGGTTTGTTTTTAGTTTTAGGTGACAGTTTCACTGTGTAGCCTAGGCTGGCTTCAAATTCATTATCCACCTGCCTCAGCTTGTCATGTATTTGATAATACATGGACCTCCTGTGAACTGTCTCTCCCTCCCCACCCCTTCTCTTCCTGAGACAGGGTCTTCTTATGTAGCCCTGGCTGTCCTGGAACTTGGTCTTTGTAGGCCAGGCTGGCCTCAAACTCAGAGATCCACCTGCCTCTGCCTCCTGAGTGCTGGGATTAAAGGCGTGCATCTCCACCACCTGACCTATTTGTTTTTAATGTGTGCATGTGTATTTGTGTGCATCGTTGGGGGTAGGGACAGGTACATGACGTGTAGCAATCAGAGGACAACCTCAAGTGCCAGTCCTTGGGTTGTTTGAGACACAGTCTCTCTGTCCTGGAACCCTATGTAGTGAGCTTACAGAGCCGTGTCACCATGTACACAGCTGTGGACAGCGTTGGGCGTACCCAGACAGTTTTTCAGTTGTAAATTCTGTAGCTGCATTATTAGAAGCAGAGCTGCTATTGACGTCCTGCAGTTTTTAAATGAAGCTATGGGCAGGCAAGGCGTGCATCATAAGGGTAGAGGAAGCAGCTGTGTGTGTTTAAATGAGCAGATAGTGAACCTGGCTACCGAAAGCCTGCTGACCTGCTCGTCTGCCGTGACAGTGTGAATGTCTGCAGCCACTCTCTGCCACTGCTGGAGCTGTCTAGCAGAGGCCAGCTCTGTCCTCAGAGAACTGTGTGCTCTGGAGGGAGGAGGACTCTTCAGAGAGTCTGCAGGCACTAGCCTTGCTGCTTCTGTGATAGCAGCCACTCCTCAAGGTGGTCCAGGTTATGCTACCATGTGACCAGCCCTCCAACTCCTATTCCATATTCCAGTTTTACTCCTGTTCCTACATCCCTCAGCCTAGGCACAGCTGTCTGTACCACTGGGAGAACGCCACCATGGCATTGAGTTGGCAGTGTTTGGAGAAGCTGAGATTAAAGATATGTAATTTAATTCAAAACAAAGCCAGCCAACCCTTTAATCCTGGAACTCAGGAGGCAGAGGCAGGCAGACTCCTGAGTTCGAGGCTAGGCTGGTCTACAGAGTGAATTCCAGGACAGCCAGGGCTACACAGAGCAACCCTGTTTCACAAAACAAAACAAGATCAGCCTATAATCTAATATCTCAGGAAGCTGAGGCAGGAGTGTTGTGAATCCCAGGCTAACCTGGCTGTGAGTGAGACCCTAGCTATCTTGACAGAAATAGAATAGGATGAGATAGTATAAAATAAAATTGAAAAGAAAAGCATGGCCAGTCTCCTTGCTGGTGGATGATGACTTGGAGGCCTGGCATGCTCTCAGCCATCTCTGTGTTAGTGTAGAGCCCTCAAGTTATGGGTGAGTGCTCTGCATGGGCCCGGGGGGCCTTCTAGAAATTATATAAGGAGCGAGGAATTGTGTGATGGGTGAGGCCCCTAAGAAACATTTTTGACTGAAAAAGAGGAATTAGGCAGGGCTGGTAGAATCTTGTGTGGAGAGCACTTCATGCTTGTCTCAGGCTTCCTAGCTGTTCATATGGAAAATGAACCTGCCTGTGACTTCTTGTGCCACTTGGAGATACCAGCTGTATTCACTGTTTCTCCGGACCCCTGGGGAATAAGAGGTGACTGTGACCACCTGCCGTCTCTGCCACTCAGCTACCTTTTATCCCTGACACGGGGCATTATACCGTGTACAGGCAGGGAATGCATGAAATTTGCCCAGCTGGGATCTAGCCTGTGCTTCTAGGGGCTCCAGATCCTTTGCCTGTGGTTGCTGCCAGCTAAGTGGTCTTTGAGCCTGCAGAGTCTCCCAGTAGCACTAGGTGGCAGTCTGAGCCAGAAGCCCAGAAGAGTAGAGGGAATGGACATTGAGTGGCCCAAAGGGACTTCTATGTAGTGAACTAAGCTGATGGGTGGGGGTGAGGTACCCCAGAAAGGAATTCATCTGTTAACTCTGTTTGAAATCCTCATAGAAAAGACATGTGGTATGCAACCCCTTGAGGATCAAACTCAGGTCTGTTGCTTGCAAAGTGCTTTACTAACTGAGCCACTCCCCCAGACTCCAGACAGTCCTCCCTGAGAAGTCTGAAGTCTCACCGGAGCTCAGTGAGGTCACAAGCTAATTAGTAGTGTCTGCTGGGTGTGCAGGCCGGGTGAATAGAGGCAGCCTGTGTGCATCCTGCCTTCCCGTTCTCGTGAGCTGGTAAGGGTGTGGAATATGGTGAACGACTCAGAGGTAGCCATGTAGGTGTGTGCTTGCCCCCCGCTGGCTGGCCTTGAGCTTTTCACTCGCTCAGGTGTGGTCCAGGTGAGGACAGGTGTGTGGGGCTGTGTCTGAACAATGTCTTCTTCAGCATCTGTGACCCACTTATCTCTCCAGAAGCCCTGTCATGGGGCATCACCTAGTTCCAAACAATAGTTATTTGGGGGGTGAAATTCTGTGTGGCAGAAGGGGCTGAAAGTAGCCTAGCATGAAAAGACTAAGCTGTCCAAGGCCACTCAGCCACAGCTGAGTTGGCTCCAGGCATGAATGAGGCTCATTTGATAGAATGAATGTTGATCCTCCTGCAATCTTCCACTTTCCTTCAAAAATGTTAGGTCCACCATTTCCTGGCTGGGCAGGCCTGGCATCCTATAGGTATAGGGTGGTCTACTGAATGCAGTCTGGAACCTTCCTTTCAGCGGGTAGAGAGACAGACATACCCCAGAGGGTATCTCCAGCTTGGAAACACTGTATGCTTTCCCGTCTGTGGGTGAGTGGCCCCTGTTCACGGCTACTCTTGTTCATCCATCCACATTGTTCTTCCAGTCTGGGCTTTGTCTGTCAGAGGTTTGATGGCCTTGGTGGTAGGGGAGGGTGGGTACAAATGAAGTTGGCAAGGGTAGCCTTGTGTCTTTATAACCCAGTGTGGGAGGAAAGGATTTCCGTATCTTTAGAACTTCTGGAATTAGAAAGGGATTCAGGAAGTGACTTTGTGGGCAGCGCAGTGGAGAAGCCCGTCTTCGTGAGGCCTCTGTCTTGCAGGGTAGGTGGAGGGCCATAGAGCAGAAGCCAGCCAGAGGCTGAGGATTCAGGGTCCCTGAAATCCCAGGAGGCGTCCTCTGGGGAGCGCTGGGCCCATGTTTCTCTACTGGGTGTTGAGTGTAGGAAGCGGTCTGTCTTTTTAGTTGTTGCTAGAGGGGTCATAATCTTTGATCCGCCCTCAGAGACTATGACTGGGTGGGGCCAGGGCCCCTGCCGGCCTCTTCCTCTTTTCTTCAGGTTGTAGCCCCTCCTCTTAAAGGGCCCTCAGGGCTTCATGTGCTTGGCTGGTACTCTGAGGGTGTGGTGACTTTAACAGCGTCTGATGTTGCTCCTCCTGCCCCTGCCCTCAGCAGGAACCAGAGCCCTGCCTGCTCTGAGACTCCAAGGCTCCAGAACCTAGCCAAAGCTGAAGGAGTTGAAGACCAGAGCCCAGACACTGAATTGGGACTGTCCTCGCGAGTGAGTAGATAGAAGTCACAAGTGGGACCTGCGGCTGAGTTCAGGCAGGCTTTTCAGGGAGCCCTCCCTCCCCGTCCCTGAGGCTGGGAGGACCTGGTGGGAGTGCCTCCTAGCTTTGCTGCTGGCTTCTTTCTAGCTGACTTTCACAGATGGGAACTGAGGACTCTTTGGCCTGTCTTGCTCTCCTGCCTCCCAGGCAGTCGGGCAGCTTGAGCTCACTTCCTCCACATCCTGTAGCTTCTCTAGTCTCCAAAAGGCTGGGCAGGAAGTGAGCAAGCTGCTGGGAGGTACGGAAGTGCAAGCAGGCTTTGGGGGCAGCCCAGGGCTCCCAGTGTGCTTCTTGTATGCTGCCTGAGGCCCGAAGCGGCCTGGGCATCCCTGTAGGACTTAACAACTTCAGAGGGCCTGGTTGATGCTTACTGCCAGTCTGGGGGCCCAGGTACCACATAGAGTGAGTGTCTGAGAGAAGACTTTGCGTCTTTACCCCACCCCACGCCTCCATCATTGACTTGATCACTTCTTTGTCCCCTCTTCTTCCTAGTGACTTCCCAGAAGAATTGCTGGCTTTGCCCAGGGAGGGTCCATTTTCCTGCCCTCTCCTTCTGAAGTTCTGTCTCCTTTCAGCCTAGAAGTGTAGAGCAGGAGGTAGCTTCTTCCTGGACACACCTGCCAGGTGGCCCTGCCTCAGGGAAGAAATGGCCGAAGCCCTCCAAGGTGGGGATATGAGTAGAAAGTGAGCAGTGGATGCACGGTCTGGGGCATTGGAGGTTTCCTGTTCAGGAAGAGCTTGTTGGGGTCTGCAGGCTTTTCATCTCCTGCCCAAAGCAGAGCCTACCAAGGAGCAGGAAGTGTGCACAAACCCTAGTGCATACCTGTACCACCCACCCCACAAGCACATATACCCTATAATATTCCCGCCACTCACCCACCCACCCACCTATAACTGCTAACTGGCCTGGCCCATTTGTGTTGACTTCAGCTGGAATGTCCCATTCCATTGGGAACCAGGCATCCTTGCCACCGTCTCAGTGGCGGATGGAGGGGGACATGGTATGAGCCCTAGAACGGCACGTCCTTGCAAAGCTAACTCCTGTGCTTGCATCAGCATAAACTTTCTACTTACTAGGCAGCTGCCCCTTTTTTGCCTTCTCATAGTGTTTCCCTTGCTGGAAGAGGAGGTAAGAGCTGGGGAGCCACCTGGTTGAAGTAGGAGTTGAGGGTTATAAAGTTATTCTGGCCTTGAATGTATCCCTGTTCTGAGTCTCAAGGGAAGTGGGCGGAGGAGCTTTCCCATCCCTGTTTGAAGATGAAGAAATGGGAGGGAAGAGCTGCAGTGTTCCAGCTCTCAGGATGCTAGTGATCAGATTAGTGCTCACCATAGATCCCTCTGAGTTCTCATGGAGCAGGTGACTGGCCCTCAGGCATGTAGTAGCTTTGAAGTCTGGCTGGTCAGGAGGGACAGGAGGTGTCAGCTTTTGCCTGCCTCAGGGCTCCTTGCCCTGGACTCACCCAAAGCCTTGAGTGCTCAGAGGCTAGGGAAGGTCAGCTCTCTGGCTTCAGGTCCAAGTGGTAGATGGAGGTCTATGAGGTGGGAAGGGAGCTTTGCTGTTGAAGTAACTCTGCTTTGGCCGTGAGAAGGTAGACTGGCTTGGCCTATTTCTGTCCTTGTTGCTTTTGACTGGACAGATAGAACTCAGTAGCCTGTTTCTTGGGGAAGAACTATGTTCATTCTCTTCCCTGGGGACTGTACAAGATCCCGTGTGATGTTTTTAGGAAGTGTTGACACCTAGGTGTCCAGTGGATAAGAGATTAGTGGGATAAAGGCAAGGACACACTGCTCATCATCCCCTCACTGTGGGCAAGTGCAGGCTGTGCGCCTCAGTCTCTTGGAGAGGCCTTACTGCCTCTTCAAGAAGCCAGCTCCTTGCTCTGGTCCCTTGAGCTGCCTCACTGCAGGCAGGAGCAGCCCAGGCTACCCTGTCCTGGTAGACCACCCACCTTGTCGAGGACCCCAATCTGGAAAGACCTGACTGGCCCTTCATGGTGCTATGGAAGAATAAAATGCCTATGTGAGTCTCAATTGAGAACCTATATGATTTAGCTGAGCTGAATTTGCAAGCTCAGGTGTTCAGAGCTGCCATAGATAGCATCCTACTTGGTAGAACAGTAAGGAAAAGTTAACAGGCAACCTAAGCTCCTTAGGTCCCCCAATCCCACAAGGTCATACTTGTTTTCCCATTAACCCTGGTGTGAGCTCTGCACCTGTTTCGTAGCCTGGAATTTATAAAACAAGGAACGAGCCTCTGAGAGCCTGACACTAGCTCACATAATGACACGTCACCCCTGAGCCCATTTGTCCGGCCAGTATGAAGCTTGTTCAGCCAGGCAGGTTGTATGCGTGTACCGGTATAGATGAATGATCAGAGCACACTTACTATGGATGGAAAGTTAAGGAGGCTCATATAGCCTAAAGCAGAAACATGGGTGTCCCTGAAGCCTGGCCCTGACCCTTAGATTCGGGGAGGGGGCGCCCATGTGTACTCATCTGGTGCCAGCATCTTTTGAGAAAGGAGTTTACGGATGTTTGTGTGCTAGGGTAGGCCAGTCCTCCACCTCCTCAGTCATAGGGAGAAGTCTGTATGTACCCAGGCCTTGGCTGCTTTGTCGTCTCTTGTCCTAGAGGCTACTAGCATACCCGGGGTTCATTGGCTTTTGCAGGCAGGTGCCAGGGCTGGAATTTTTACCTGTCTGACTGAAATGAACTTACCTGTGTCACACACAAATCCTTGTGTAGTTAGAGTTGTCACCGTGTGTTGCCTAGCTGATCCTTGCCTGACTCTGTCTCAGGCATTAACTCTGGTTTGTTTGTTTTTGAATGTGATTTCTTTTTGTAGTTTTTTTGTCTGTCCTGAAACTGACTCTGTATACCAGGCTGGCCTTGAACTCAGAGATCTACCTGCCTCTGCCTCCCAAATGCCGGGATTAAAGATGTGTGTCACCACCACAGGCTACAGGCAGTAACTCTGGAGGTCAGCCAGCATTTCTTCATCTGAGAGCCGTGACAGGTGCCTGACTTCCTTCTCAGGATGTGATTGAGGCTGGAGACTGTACGGCTTCCGGTTAACCCCTGTGGACTCTCACCCTCCCTGGGACTTTGGGCTGAGATAGCCACGGTTGTGGCGTGCTTGCTCTCTTCTCCCTGTCATCTGTACAGTGGCGAGGCTCTGAACAAGGGGAGGGCCCTGAAGATTGCCAGGGGATGGCCTAGCCAGAGTGCTTTTTGAAGGGAGATTGGAAGGGGATAGGAAGATTTGGGCTTCAGTGCTGGCTGCTCTCAACCCCAGGCTGGTTTTCTCCGAGATAGCCCAGGTATTACAGTTTGTGAAGATGCCTGGATTATACAGGGCCAAGAGGGATCACAGCATGTTCTGTGGGCAGATACACAGCATGACGCCTTGCCTGGATGTCCTGGCTGGCTGTCCCCTCTGTCATTCCTCAGATGCTACTTTGTAACCTGAATGGAAAATGGGTCAGGCCCTCCGAGGGAGGGGCCATCAGGCTGGAGCACCCGGCTCAGATTCCCACCTTGTGCTTTTGGAACCCGGTGGCGCCTAGAAGTCGTGGCAGTGTCTGGTCACCTCCCTACCAGGGCTGGCTGGAGCAGCCCTGCTGCACTGGACAGCTAGCTGGCAGGGACAGGACAGGTGACTAAACATGAGTGATAGAGCTGACCCAGGACAGGGGCTTCTGCCCTGGCAGCAGAGCCTGAGCAGGTGACCTGGACAGGAGGTCCAAGCAGCTGCATGACTGGTACCTGTCTGTTTGCAATAGCTGTGGTCCTCTAACCAGTACCTGTGAGCCACCAAGAGTGAGCAGAGACTAGCAGCATTGCCAACAGCGATTGGAGCAGTGACCACACTGGAGTTCCTCTGGCGAGGGGGAAGGGAGGAACGAGAAAAACAAAGGCCAGTGATTGAGCAGGCGAGAGCGAGCGAGCGAGCGCACTCTTGTGGATGTTCATAGCACCCTCCCTGTGATACCCACAATGTGTCAGTCACAGAAGCCGCACCGACCAGAGCTCCAAGCAGCGGCGAAATGGTGAGATGCTGCCCGCAGAGACCGAACCCTACTGTAGCCAGGCACAATCCAGGAAGGTCAAAGGTCAAGTCCAGTGGCCTTGATGTGGAGTTGGCAGTAGGGGATCTGGGAGTGAGCCCCCTTGGCTGGAAGGGCCAGGAGAGGGGCTCCTGAGTTCCCCCAGTAGGAGAGCCCAGTTCAGGTACTTTTGGTTCTGGCTGGCTGGGAGGAGGGCCCAGTGCGGGAAGACATGAATGGACTTCTGCACTTGCAAGGGCACCCAGACCCTGTCTTCCCACCCTAGGCCCCTGCTTCTTACACTTGGGAGAGGGACCCCTCCCCAACCCCCTGCATTTCAGGATTGGTCTCTTCTGCAGTGACTTGGGTGGGGCAGCCCTCGGGAGGATAGTGATTTGTCTTTGCTTGGGCCCTGTCACCTTCCCTTGTGTTTTAAAAAACGCAAGGCAGCTGGGGTGCTGTGGTTTTAGCACCAGGAGCTTAGGCTCAGCCGTCCTCGGCCCTCACTGACAGACTGCCAGCCCCGCCACTCGTCCCCATTATCTGCTGAAATCTCCTTTTGTTCCTTGGTTTGCTCAGTTTCTGGGAGACAGAGGACTCGGCTTCTCTTGAGAGCAAGCACAAGTACAAACAGCAGCCTTGGCTTGTTTAATCAAATGTGGCTTTTCAAGCAAGAATCTGAATGCCTGGGGACACCGTCTCAGTGGGTTGCAGTGTGGTCTCATGATGGCTACATTGAGGCCTCAGGAGTATTTTCTAGGACCTGATGTGACAGGGAACTTAGTTGCATCCAGGAAGCCAAGGTCACAGTGGAAAGACTCCTGTGCCTGTACAAAGCTGGCTATATAGAAGATGATGAAGTCAACTTGTAAAACTGGTGAAGCCATGGGTCATACGCGTGTGGCTCTAGCAGAGTAGGGAGGCGGCTTTGGAAATAGGTGGTGGTCCTCGTCCTCACTCTGGATGAGGTTTAGAGAGCCTGACCCAGAGGCACAGGTCGATCGAACCACAGCTATGTCCTATCATTTAGCAGAACAGAAGAGGATGCAAAAGATCTGAAGGTTTTCCCAGGGGCCACAGTGGTGTGGCCCAGCTGGCTAGGCTTATGGCACTTCAGTCTTGTGCCATGCTTCTGTTAGACTCAGTTTTCCTGGCACCTGTGAGGACAAAACCATCCTTGGGTCCCAACCCTCCTTAGCGTGGGAGGCTGCGGGTGTAAGGCTCATTCTCTTGCCGTCCTCTTGTGGGCCCCCAGGGCCTTGCTGGGCTGCTGCTGTACTTGGGGGGTGCTCCACCATAGAAGTATCAAGGAGTTGGCCCTGAACTACCTCTGCCCTGCTGTCACCTGCTCAGGCAGGCCGGGCTGACTCAGAACCAGGGTTGGTTAGAATGAACCGGGTACTGCAGAGCAGTGCTGGAACTCTCTGGCTCCGTTAGAGAGGCGGCTTGAATGGGGAGCAGGGGAGGGGACACAGATGGCACTAGCTGAGGGGCTCGCTCCTCAGTTCCTCTCAGACTTAGGCATTTACCCAGGCCATGTGTGAACATGTGTCCTGCAGGTTGTACTTCCCCCAGCTGGCCCTACGGCGGAGGCTAGGCCAGCTTAGCTGCATGTCCAGACCTGCTCTGAAACTGCGCTCCTGGCCCCTGACCATCCTGTACTACCTCCTGCCCTTCGGTGCCCTCAGGCCCCTCAGCCGGGTGGGATGGAGGCCTGTGAGCAGGGTAAGTGTGAATAGGCCTCTTGGCCATGGCCCTCCCCAGACAGGCCTGAAGTTGAGGCACAGGGGAGACAAAGAAACAAGCTTTCACAAGTAGCAGCAGTGGCTGCAGTCTTGGGTAGATGGGTATGAGAAGGTTTGTTGGTGGCCATGTGCCAATCTACGACTCCACTGATCTCATAGGGAACACTGGTTTTGGAAGGAACTTACACATTTGTCAGTCACAGATGATGCCATTCTTACAGGTGGAAGCAAGCACAGAGTAGAGTCTGGACACCGGTGGGCAGTTTAGGAAGGCTGCAGCTAGGCTGGACCTGTTAGTTCAAAAACATGCTTGAGGAGCTCAGGACTGCACAGGTGGCCGCCCAGGCAGAACCTGGCCAGCATATGCCTAGAGGGCTCTCTTGAGCTTAGCTTCCTGACAGGCTGGCCCCAAGAAGGATGCCTTTCACCTTGGTCATGGGTAGTCTAGGTAAGCATCACAAAAGCCCGAGAAAGTATACTAGACACTAGAGTGTATCCTTGGCCACTAACGGTATTGCTCTGTCCACGTGGCTGAGCGCCAGCCAGGAGACACTAATATGGGGGAGGACTGTTGAAAGTTGGTAAAGTGACTTCACTTTTAAGGAGACGGTGCTCTGCTGTGTTCAGATACACAGCAATGGCAGCAGAAGCCCCAGAGTTCTACAGGGCCCTCTGGCCTCACAGTGGGGCTGGTACTTTATCTTGGAGTCCCACACTAGAGGGATAACAAAGTTTTCAGAGAGAAGTCTCCTGCCTTTTTGAGAGTCCATGGGCTTGCTCAGAGGATGTGGCAAGGATGTGGTAGCTCTGGGTGTCAGAACATTGTCCTTGCTTCCTATGAAGAGGATGCTCTGGACTACAGGCCTGCCACTTGCTCTTGGGAGCCTCCTGCTGCTTTCTTGAGTAGTATGGACTATGGGCAGTGAGCTAGGGCAAGGGTAGCATGCTTCCTGATAGTCTTTCAGGCTTGTACCAGGGCCATTTCTGTCCCCCACCTCCCATCGTTAAGAACCAAGGCTGTAGTCCAGTCTCCACCTCTAGGACTAAGGCAGCTAGTTGGTCTTTGACCTTTGCATGAAATAGCAAAAAGTGACCCAGGCCAGGCTATATGCATACCCAGCCCTTGTTTTCAGTATTTGGTGAGCACAGCAGTCTGGTTCCTTTTGAGAATCAGCCACCTCACAAATCAACCCTGAACACTTACTTGAGCCTTTGTGGTGGCTTCTCTAGGTCTCTGTCTCTCCTCTCTCACATGTGGGGTTATGGGAGTGTGACAGCTCTCGGTTTATGACCAACTCAGCCTCCTTTACTGTGTGGCCTGCAGGTGGCCCTGTACAAGTCGGTGCCAACGCGTTTGCTATCACGCGCCTGGGGTCGCCTGAACCAGGTGGAACTCCCTTACTGGCTGCGGAGGCCAGTCTACAGCCTGTATATCTGGACCTTTGGGGTAAACATGACAGAGGCCGCTGTGGAGGACCTACACCACTACCGAAACCTCAGCGAGTTCTTCCGGCGCAAGCTGAAGCCTCAGGCACGGCCTGTCTGTGGCTTGCATAGTGTGGTAAGGCCTGGCTGGTCCTTGTCTCTGTATTCATTAGGAAATGATGAAGCCAGGCTTAGAAGCCCACCATTGGCTACGCCCTCATTCATGTCCTTTAGTCTCCAGTATCAGCATGTCCTAGACTGGGACTCCTTGGGTGCTTGGCAGGTGGTGGAGTTCAGGGGGTACCACCCCCCCCCCCCATGCTGCTTAGTATCAAGCTTCTCTGTTCCCTCCAGATCAGCCCATCAGACGGCAAGATCCTCACCTTTGGGCAGGTGAAGAATTGTGAGGTGGAGCAGGTAAAGGGCGTAACCTACTCTCTGGAGTCATTCCTGGGCCCTCGAACCTATACAGAGGACCTGCCCTTCCCTCCAGGTGGGTCATTGCATAGTTGGGGTCGGAGCTGGGGTCAACGTCAGAGGCTAACGGCATAAGGGGCCAAGGGAACAGAAAGGCTGGGGAGGCTTGGGGGGCCCGGGCTGGTGTGCAGCCTGCAGTTCTCCCTGGAGGCTCCAGCTGGGCTGCATGCAGGCTGTGCCCCTACTGCTTGCTGTGGGTCGAATGGCACCTGGAACTTGTCAAAGAGACAGCCCTTGCTTCTGCCCCACCCCACAGCCTCCTCCCGTGACTCCTTCAGGGACCAGCTGGTCACCCGGGAAGGGAACGAGCTCTACCACTGTGTCATCTACCTGGCCCCCGGGGACTACCACTGCTTCCACTCCCCTGCTGACTGGACCGTCTCACGCCGCCGCCACTTCCCAGGTAGCCCAGGCCCAGCTGGGGGAGAGCTGCCTCTGAGGCATTACAGGCCCTTGGCCTCTGGACTTGATAGGGTTGGGCTCTCGGCTGGTGTTAAGACCAGGAGATGAGCACTTGAGGCCGGCTGGCGATTGGCAAGGGTGCCTGGGCTCCTGCTTGGAGTTTGGAACAATACTTAGCCTATGAGTCCCTTTGGCTTCTAGGCCATTCTGGTGTGAACACACCAGGCTCTGAGCAGGAAGTAGCTTGTTTTCCTATCTCCATAGGTTCCTTGATGTCAGTGAACCCTGGCATGGCCCGATGGATCAAAGAGCTCTTTTGTCACAACGAGCGTGTGGTGCTGACTGGGGACTGGAAACATGGGTTCTTTTCGTTGACGGCAGTGGGCGCCACCAACGTGGGCTCTATCCGCATCTACTTTGACCGAGTGAGCAGACCCCACCAGTCCACATGTGCTGTGCAGCCAGATCTTTGGGGGGCTTATAAATTCTGTGGTGGGGAGGGGTGCTCCAGCTCCGGCCAGGCTCTGCTGAGCAGCTGTTCTGCAGCCAGACCAATCCCTTACCTCCCCCCTCCCTGTTGCCATGGAGCTGGAGATGGCTGCAGAGGTAAGAGCCCGGCCTCGCTCCTGATGAGCTGTTTCTGCCAGGCGCCATGTCAGAGGCAAGGATGGGATGGCAGAAGGGTAGAAGTGGCTTAGATGGGAGAGCCTGGCTCCCTCCCCACTCTGCCTTTTTAGGTGTATGACTGCTGCTGCTGCTAGTCTTGCCCCATTTATGCTTGGTCAGGGTTAGGTCTGACACCCACCCACCCCATCTAGGTCTCAGCAGCATCGGAACTGTTGATTGGTAACAGAGCTTTGCCCTAGGATGCTGTCTCTACTACTTTTCCGAGCCGGGAGGGGTTGAGGACAGGCAATGAGGCTAACTAAGCTTTTCCTTCTTGCCCCCAGGACCTGCACACAAACAACCCTAGATACAGCAAAGGTTCCTACAATGACTTGAGCTTTGTAACACATGCCAACAAGGAGGGTATCCCCATGCGCAAGGGCGAGCACCTGGGTGAATTCAACTTGGGCTCCACTATTGTGCTCATCTTTGAGGCCCCTAAAGACTTCAACTTCAAGCTTAAGGCGGGGCAGAAGATCCGCTTTGGGGAAGCTCTGGGCTCCCTCTAGTCGGCTTGGTTGAGGCTGCCGAGGGATCTTTCCACACGGGAGCACGAGTCTTCAGAGACACCCCAGGCTGTCCTGGTGACAGGGACTGTGCCACTGACCCGGTAGGGCCTGAGTGATTTGTTCCTGCTTGTCTGAGGGGCGAGAGGCTTTGGATCTGCCAGGACCTGGTGGGTATGATCTGACCCTGTGTCTTCTGGCTGAGAATTGTGAGAACGTCTAGCTGCTTTCCCCAGCTGTCTCGGGGTCTTGTCAGCCTTCTGTTCTTTCTGCCTTAGCGTCTCTTGTCTCCACTCAGTGTGCACAGGGCAGGGTGCTTCCTTGGCATGGACAGTGAATCCATGCTCTTAGAGCAGGCCACATGGCCTTCAGAACTGCTCTCTGTTCCCAATTCACCCCTCCGCTTGCTGGAAAAGTAAAATCATTTCTGTTGATGAATGTGTTGACCTAGACTCTGCCAGTGTCTTCTGAGGACAGTGACTAATGATGGAGACCTCTGTAGGCTCTCAGGTCTGACCTTCCAAAGTTGGCTGACCAATTACTGACTTGCCTGGTAGTGTCCAGAGTAAAAGGCCCAGCCCTGCAGGAAGTGTAGGGGACATGCTGCTATTGGTCTGGGGGCTGTGTTTGGAGGCAGAGGTTCAGGTTTTAGGCCATAGGGACCCCCGCAATAGGGACACAGCCAGCTTTCATGTTGATCTTGGGGAGCCATGGATTTCTCCTGCAGGAGAAATCATTGAACTTTGATTTCAACTGTATCAGTAGTACAGTATTTTGTATGAAAAGTAGGAGACTTCTGAACAGTAATTCATTTAATTGCAAGACATTTTGAAATAAAACAAAACAATACCATTGTAGCTTTGTATTCTGTTGTTGGGAAGAGGTGTCTGTGGCCTTGTGAAGGATAGCACCTGTCCCCCAGCGGCAAGCCCACTAGCACAGAGCCTGTCTCAGGGCCCGAACACGAGCTATGCATGTACCGACGGGCTGTCGCTGGGTCTGGAGCTCCTCAGACAGCTGCTGGATCTGTAGTTCCACCTGGGAGAAGAGGAGGGATAGATAAGGCAAGCTGACCAGAGCACAGCCGGGGCCGAGCCGGGGCCGAGCCGGGGCTCACCTCCTCCAGTTCTTTCTTCACCTGCTGTTCCAGATCCCAGTCCTCGGGCCCGGGCTCCTCCTGGCTTAGCTCCAGCCATCTACGTAGGCTGTGGGCTTGTCGCTGGCATGACCTGGGGATATGGACACCTGCTGCCTATGAGGCTAGGCTCTTGGCATAGCTTCAAGGAAGCCCTTTCTGAATTGAAGAGGCACACTGGCTAATACTGAAGGGCTGGGGTGGACAGTGTGCAAGCTGTCTCAAGTTGCAGGCAATGGCCAAGGAGAGCAATACTTTTCTGTCTTTCCAAGCAAACAGCAACTTGGGTGGGCCTATGTGAAAACTACTCTTCCTGTCCCTTCCTAGGAGACCAGACTTTTCTACTCATTTCTCTGAAAGCTGCTGTGTGTTAACAGTCCCCAGTACTGGATGTAGTTAAAGATAACCCAGGCTTGTGCTGCCTATGCCTGGTCGGTATTACAGCCACGGCATAGGCAGCAGCAGCAGAAGCAAGGCTTGCTTGGCTTTACATTCCCTCCAAATGGAAAGCAGGGCTTCCAACCTAGGTGAGGCCAACTTGCCCCTTCCTAGAGGGGATAAAGGTACCACAGGACATTCACCCCCCCACCCCCTCAACCCCCTGGGAGTGAGTCAGAACAGAGAGAGGGCTCCCAGCACATGCTGGGGGGGGGGGGTGGAACCCCTGCCTTTCCAAGCCACAGCTATTCTTGTGGACAGTCCCAGGGCAGCTGGTGGGTCTCACCGAAGGTTCTGCTTGGTGGTCTGGTAGTGCTGTAACTGCTGCTGGATCCCCTCCAGCTCAGCTTCAAGCTGTGTGTGGTCTTCAGCAACTGGAAGACAAGTCTGACCTTGCCTGCCATCCCCTTCAGAACCACCAGGGGGACTGGTTGGGCTCTGGTGGAAGGGTGTCTGGTGCCTTGATCCACTCACCTGTACCCTCTGAGCCATAATCAGGCCCAATCCTGGTGCTTGTGAAATCCCCAGGGAGGAAGAGATGGAGCTTAGGCCCCTTGGGTAGGGGTGGGCATGCCAGAGGCTGAGGTCCAGGGATGGTGGGCTTTGCGGACACCTGTGGATGAAGGAAGAGCAGACGAAGCTAGTAGGGACCCTGGGGAGCGAGCCTGTCCCCTGCCCATTGGCCAGCACATACAAAGCCTTGCTCTGCCTGCTTTGGACGGTGACACACTGGGAAGTCCCTCAGACAATCTCCACTATTTCAGTATTTCAGTACTGCCCCAGCAACAGGCTGTCCTTCCCCAGCCTTTCACCCTGCCCTGCTCAGCCTGTAAGCCGTGCTCAGCCTCAGTGGGGAAGGGCATGGTGTGGCAGTTCTCCCAACCCAACGCCCTGCACCCCAAGTCTTCTCTTCTTCCGAGAGTGGACATGCCACTATTTTTTAAGTTTTTGCTTGTTTATTTACTGAGACAGAGCCTTGCCATGTAGCCTGCGCCAACTTTGAGCTCTGTGTCCTGCCTCTACCTCCTGAGTGCTGGGATTAGGTGTGTGTCACTTCTGTTAACAGCCACTCATCACCAGAAACTGTCTCCTTTGTGTCCACTCCTCCCCAGTCAGCACCAACTGCCACCTGTTTGGGGACCAAACCCTTGTGCTCTCACAGCTCCTAGCCACCTCTGCCCAGGACCTTCTGTCCTTTGTGTACTTCTAGGTGACACCTTTGCCCTGCCCTGTAGACACTCACAGCTTTGAAGACTGAGTGCTGCTCTCTCAGCTATGGTAATGTAAAAGGGACTGCCTGCCTCACCAGACCCTGGGCCCCACCTCTTTCTTCCCTGAGAGTTCCTGGATTCCTTTTCTTCCCTCTCCATACCTACACAGCAAGCCCTGTCCCACTGTCCCCAGCAGACTACTGTCAACCTCACAGTGAGGCGCCACATCGGAGCACTAGATTATCTTGGGGGCTGCCCTCCACTTGGAGCTCTGAGTCCATGCTCCAGGCCAGATGTGGTGCCCTGAACAGACCCTCACTTTCTTCCTCTTCCCCCTCAAGCTTCCACCACTCACCTGTTCCCCAAGACCATAGGCCCTGCCCGGAGTCTGCCCATAGGGTTCTTCCGGCTGTCCCACCACCAGACATTTCTCAAGACCTGGGGTGTTAGCAGACTGGCCACTGCTGTGTTTCAGTCCTGGTGTGCAGGGCACCCAAGCTTGTGGATTGGGCAGGGTATTCTAGAAAGAAATGTAACAAGGGTTGGAGGAAGAACTCCAAAGGAGAGCAAGGGATAAGTCCAGTGGAGGGCTCACCCTGGTAGTGTCTCCCATCCCGTGGGGCACGAAGGAAGGAGGAGGTAACAGCTCCAGGCCTGCACTTGCTGAAGGGGGCAGCTTTGAACCAGGAGCATTTGGCAGGACCACAGGAAGGAAAGGCCTCGTCAGGGAAAGGCCTCTTGGCAGAGCCATATTTTGAGCCTTTTCTGGAGGATTCTCTAACCTGAGTGGAAGGAAGGTTACACCATGAAACCTTTCTCTTAAAGAGCCACGCGTCCAACAAAACATAGAACCCAGATAGAGTTTTCGGGGACTCACAACTACTGAACTTACTGCTGCTCCCTGAGGGTGCACCAGCCTGGGGACCTCTGGCTCTGCAAACGCTCAAGCAGGAAGGATGGACGCCGTGGCTGTTTCCGTGACAAGCGGGCCTCATTGCTGGAGAGAAATAGTCTGTTCTTGAACTGACAAGCTCTGCATGGGGATGGAGGCCAGTCAAAGCAAGGCTTTGGCCAAAGGCTAGCATGCACATGGGGTAGGCCTGAGCCTAGATAACTTGACGTAACCCTTACAGGAGGGTTCATATCAGAAGGGTACAGCCTCTGAGACATTCAGGATCCTGCCAAGGTTAGGGATGAAGGGGACGGAGCAGGGATGGGGACTGGCTCAAACACCATGAGTTATGAGACCCTGCTGGTTACTCTGGCCACGGCAGCTGCCTCAGCACAGGCTGAGAAGCCATCCAAGGAGGCAGGGGAAAGAGCAGGTCCCCACAAAAAGTGACTGCAGGCCTAAGGCAAGCCACGAGGGCTTGACAGTCTGTTGAGCATCATAAAACAGGGAGAAGCAGATGTCATGGGGGGACAAACAGCCTTTTTTGACAACAGTCCAAAAGTTAGGAAATTCCACTGCCTGCCCAATGCCCTGGGAAGGACAGCCTGATAGGCCTCTGAGCAGCTCTGATGTGACAAGGCTCTGGCAATCTCATCTTGCCCTTCCCAGGGCTGTTTGTCCCTCATGTATGCTCCCAGTTTTTGCTCCAGGGCTAGAGGCAGAAGTGCGACACAGGCCACTCACAGCTCTAGGGGGCAGGGGTCCCCAGCAGCTACTGCCAAGCTACCCAGGGTTCCCTGAGAGGGAGGAGCTCTCAACTTCTTCGTCTCCAGGGTGGCATCTCCAGCCTCAGCAGCAACTCCAGAGAGAATGGAATCCTTAAACGTCACTCTCCTGCTGAATGCGATGGGTGCTGGTGGCTGAGACAAGCTGCCTGGACCAAGTGCCTTCCTTTTCCAGAGCTCTGCACAGCGGCGGACTGCACAGTGGAGGCTGTGGGCTGCCTGCAACACAACTTCTCGTCAGCTCCTGCCTCGCCCTGCCAGTTCCTCCCCACCAGCCGCGACTTACCTGGACCTGCTGCTGGGTCTGTAGCTGCTGTCGGGAGGCCTTCATACCAGATGCAAAGCGCAGAAGCCGTGTAGCACCCTCCTGCAGGAGCTGCTGGTGGTAGGCTTGCACGGCTCGTTCCAGCCGTGCCTTCTTCCTCCTCCTCTCAAATATGAAGCCCAGCCATGCAGTCCATACCTTGTAGAAGAGATGCAAGAGATGATGCTTAGGCTTCTATTTGGGTTCTCGTGACCCAGCCCACAGAGCTGTTCCTGAAGGCAGGAATAACCAGGGAGCTGCAGGACCCTTACCTTTGCCTGCAGTGAGAAGGCCCAGAACCACAGGGCCCGGGCTGTACTCTGCTGCTCTTGTTTCCTGGCTGCCAGCTGTCGACCAGAAAGATGGGGTCATTCAGAGGAATGCACAGGCAGCGTGGCCATGGCCACGCACAGCTCGCCAGTCTCTAGCTAAAGCATCTGCCCTCCTACTGGGAAGGGTTCAGGCCCTGACCTCATTTTGACCTTGAGATATTCAGTATGTTCAGGCTCTGTGGGCTGAAAAATGACAGTAGGAAGGGAGGGAATGAAAGGAGCCATTGGGGTTCACAAAGGAGTGCTATGGGGGGGGGCTCACAGCCCAGGGCTACAGTGGCCTGTGAACTTGGTTTTGCTGAGCAGAATGTGTGTGACCTTCTGGGTTTGTGTTTGCTGTTTTTCTTTTGTTTGGTTTTGGTTTTTTGAGACAGGGTTTCTTTGTGCTGTCCTGGTTGTCCTGGAACTAGCTCTTGTAGACCAGGCTGGCCTCAAACTCACAGAGATCCACCTGCCTCTGCTTCCCGAGTGCTGGGATTAAAGGCGTGCGCCACCACTGCCCAGCTGTTTGTTTGTTTTGTTTTGTTTAATCAAGACCTCAACAAATACTTAAAGTTCATTTCACATTAATTTTGGGGTATTATTCCACTGTAAGAGAAACCTGACTGGCCTTCCACGGATGGTGTGTGAACGAAGCTGACTGTGTGTGGGTGGGGAGCACAAGGAGGGAGCCCTTGGAGAAAGGTATTCAAGAAGGGTTGAAGGTTCCTTCTACCTGCTCCCTCCACTGGCAGAAGCAGGTCCGACCAAGTCTCTGTGCCAGGAATTGGGCACTTTGCTTCTGCATACGCTGGAGAAAGCAAACACAAAGGGGTCAGCTTACATGTTACTCTGGTCTAGCCTCAGTCACTGGGGCAGCTGTGTGGTGAGGCTACACCTAAGTGGTTATCTTCCTGCCAAGAACTGTTCCAGATGCCAAAGGCTCCTACACAGGTGAGTGTGTCTGAATGGCTCCATAGTTTCCCCAGACCTGAAAATCCAGGGGTCAGGGAAACCAGATTTCTCTTGTAAGCTACCTTTCCCTGGTGCAGACTTGGTTCTGAGGACGGCCATTCATTCCTAACTTCAGTAATTGCCCAGAACAGCTCCTGCAGCCTTGTTCCCACAGAATCCCACCAGCACATACTGGCTGCCTAAGATTTTGTCTGGAGACCCCAACCCACAACACGGGCACCTGGTCGAGGTACCTTTGACTCAAGCAGAGATTGGAAAGCTGCTACCACCTGCCTCACCTTCTTCCTGACACACCCTAAGTGGTATGCCTTCCACCGAGCCATTGCTTCCATCAGCCGCTGCCGGCGGTGATGCTGAGCTGCCTGTCCCAGCTGGAATCTCTGCTGGGCCTCCCTCTGGCTGTAGAGCTGCCAGCGCCGAAACCAGTTACGGAGACGACCTGAAGCACATGCAAACCAGACAACTGGTTTCATTCCTGAGTGACTTTGTAGAGCTGGAGAGCTTATGTGAAGTGACACCCAGCTTTCTGTGATTTAAAAAAAAAAAAATACCACAGGATCCATGGTCACTGTGTAAGGCCAGGTCAGGTCATTTTTGTGCTCTGGGAACTGGAACCAAAACTTTTTACTGTTGCATCCCCAAGCACTGCCCCAGAGTTGCATATCTGCACAGTCACTGAGGTGTGCCAGGCCCCACAGAGCCACACCAAGGCCTGGTAGGCATGTGGAAGGGGACCTACAGTTCCAAAAGGGAGCTTTCTGCTGGATGGAGACCAAGCTTGGAGAGGGTGCAGCCTCATCGTATGAAGCAGGAAATAAATCTCAGAGAGTGAAGTCAAGCAAGCCTGAGATATGACCAGGACACTGATAAAACCATCTTCTGGCCATGCTGACTCTCTGGGCCCACTGTGTGTACCCTTGTCCTGGGGTCTGGGGAATGCCTGATACAGCAGGTACTTCTGGTTCCATTCCGTCAGAGGTTGTAGTGAGATATTATTTATGATTTATTAAAGTTTGCCTGAACATTCAGAGAAGCAGATTCAGCCTCTAGCTACAGAAGATTAGGCAGTGGTGCTATACACCTTTAATCCTAGCAGCCAGAAGCTAGGAGGTGGTGGTACACACCTTTAATCCTAGACTCAGGATTAAGAGATAGATGATTCTCTGAGTTCAAAGCCACCTAAGAGCTACACAGGATTGAATCAGTCCAAGAGAGAATTAGAACCACACCTTTAATCCCAGCACTAGAGGGGTATAAAAGACAGGAACAGTATTTCGGCATTCATTTCTCCAGCCATGCTTTGAAGAGGTTACAGTCTGAGGCTTGGTGAGCTTGTGGAGACAGAATCAGCCCATTCAGCCTGAGATAGAGGTGAGATCTAGTGGCCAACTGCTTTGCTTTTCTGATCTTCAGTTTGAAGTCTGAACCCCAATATCTGTCTCTGGGTCATTTATTAATTCATGTTACAGAAGGCAGCAGTCATGAGCGGGAGACCAGCCGTTTTACCATCTCTTTATACAGCTTTAAGCGCATCTCTATAGCTTCAACTATACCAACCCTAAGTGGCAACGTCACAGGAACGTACTACTGCCCCATTTTATAGATGAAAAAACATACTGAAGTACAAGGAACCCCTCTGAAGTCACATTGACCATTGACAGGTGATGTGACTGCAATTTTTTTTTTTTTTTTTTTTTTTTTTTTTGCCTTAAAGGGTAAATCTCACTCCTCAACAAGGAAACTTCTTGCTGAGTTGGAGATGGAAACCATTACAGAAAATGCAACTAAGCAAAATGCCGAGTATGGAGCCCAGTCCCAACTGCTACATCTACAAAACACTCCCACACCTAAAGCTTGTAACATTTTGGAGGAGGGGGGGAAGATTCTAAAAACCAGATGATCAGAGAGTTTGCTGTGTGACTGTCCCCTAGTAATATCAGAAGCTACCTACATGATTGCCCAAACGTGAGCTGAGCAAGCATACCAGTGGACATGCCCAAGTGAGTGGGGGAGTCCACAGAGCCTCAACCCTACAGAGAATTACAGGAAACTAAGAAACACTCACAGTGGGAGAGAGTCTTCCCCAGGGAAGAGCATGCCAACTGGTTATCCAATACCAAGTGGTCAGCCCTGAAAACCAGTTACAGTAGCATTATATAGACTGAGCAGGTTATAGTTACTGTGTGCGTGTGCATGCACACACACATGATAACAATGGGAAAAGAGGGCAAGGAACAGTTTGGAGGGAGGAAAGGGAGAAATTATATAATTATAATCTTAAAAAGAAATAGGGGCGGGGGAAGTAAGGGTTCTGACTCTGTGGTCCAGGCTGGCCTTGAACTCCTTGTCCCAGCATGCCTCCTTCCTGCCTTCCCAGTGCTGGGATTATGAGCCTGTACTTCATAAGATCCTATGGCAGAGATCCTGAGGTCTTAATATCAGACAAGACAATAAGTGCATGCCTTTAGTCCCAGTACTCCAGAGGCAGAGGCAAGTGGATGGGTCTCTGTGAGTTCAAGACCATCCTAGTCTACACAGTAGTCCAAGACAGCCAGGACTACAGAGAACCCCACCTTAAAAACAAAACAAAAAAAGACACCAAACCACAGATGGTACTGCACCCCTCCCACAGATGGTTCTTTGTGCTCAGCCTTGTAAGTCCCTTGTTCCTGGGCCCCCGTTTAAGGAAAGCCCTTCAGAGATGGCCTGTTGATGCTTCAGCTGCTGATCCCTCACTCACAGGAAAGCCAGCATTTTCAGGCTTTCGTGGACTAGGGATGAGCAGCTCTCCAGGAACTTCCTGCGCTCCCAGCACCAGATAGGGACTACTGAGGCACACCATCTTGTAGGCTGCATAACCAAACTTGTCGTCTCCTGGCCCACCCCAGTAAGACACGGCTACTCTGGGCTGACTGGCTGGTGAGGCCCAGCCTCAAGGATGAGTAGCAGGTTCTCAGCGTCTCAGGTATGACTTGGATGACAATATCTTAAAGCTCACTTATATAACACATAATATACATCTCACCTCGGGGGACCAAGAAGGGCAACAGCCACAAGCTAGAAGAACCCAGGAAGGGTTCTCCCCCGAGCCTCTGGCCTCCAACCCTGAGAACAACGGGTCCTATCATGGGAGTATCAGGGGACCCACCTACACAGACAGAGCCCGTGGAGCACACGGCCCCTTGGAAGCCCTGTATTCACACTCTTCCTGGCAGGCATTGTTCTCACAGGCCTCTTACCCCTGCCCAGTGCTTTCCGGGCCTCCCTGAGGGCAGCAGCCTCCTTTTCTCGGTAATATATCTGCATTGAAGTAACCTCTCGCCACTGCACCAGGACCTGTGGACAGGCAGAGAAAGAGGTTATCATGTCTTGTTTTGACATCAAGGACACACTTGGGGGTCTCTAGTGAGGTAAGACTCAGGAGTTAACATTTAGCGCTCTCAGTCAACCACCGACAGAGGCCTGGGTTGGAACTTCAGTCCCTCAGGAAGCCTGACACCTCTGACACTGAGACTTTCCTATTAGGAGGAGTTAAGCTTTGTTCTGTGCCACAACAAGTGAAGTTACATAGATTATAATCCTACTGTTATTTGTTATGCATTATATTAATACTTCCTTACACAGGAAATCCACTAACAAAACCCTTTGTGGGGCAGTGTGTGCTGGCACACATCTTTAACCCCAGCACTTGCGAAGCAAAGAGAGGTGGATCTGTGAGGCTAGCATGGTCTACAATAGTGAGTTCAAGGCCAGCCAGGGCTATACAGTAAGATCCTGTCTCAAAACAAAACACAAAACCCTGTGTGTGTGTGTGTAGGGGTGTTATATGCATGTATGTATATGTACATGTGTGTGGGTACAGAGGCCCCACAAATCCAATGTCTTCCTCACCAGTCTGTCTCATTCCCCTAAGACAGGGTTCTCTGGGGCTGAGCTCCCTGTTTTGGCTAGACTGTCTGGACAATGAGTTCTCAGGACCCTCTTATTTTTACTCCAACTCCAGGACAGGGGCCACAGACATACACAGTCATACTCAACTTTTATGTGGCAACTGGGATCTGAACTCATGTCCTCATGCTTGAACAGCATGTACTTTAACCACTGAGCCATCTCCCCAGCTCCACTAAACACATTTAAAGAAGTCAGGGAACCAGATGAGCCACGGTGCCATGCTTCATGGTCATGATAGCCCACTCCCAGCTGAGTGGCCTCTCTCTTTGCAGCACTAAACCCAACCAGATCTGGTTATTTCTCCCCAAGGCAGGGGCCACCCAGGCTGTCTTGAGCATCTCCGAGAAGAGGTCAGCCTTCACCAAATGCAGCTGATGCCTCCTCTGGGAACTACATGGCCACCAGCAGGTAGACCTATGCCACTCAAGAGCTCCCAGAAATCTGCTTTCTTTACAACAGCCATGACCCAGGGCCTGCCTCTGCTATTGTTTCTGTTCCAACCAATTCTTTGTATCATGTCCCAACACCATGCTCATCCATAGCATGGGACCTGCCGGTATGTCCACACATCTGCCCCCGCCAAGGAAATGAGGTGGCTGGGGTCAATTCAAACTACGAACGACCAAGGACTTCTTGCAGTCTACAAGCCAGTAAGATCTGGCACTCTCCCAATAAGGACACTGAATCTCAGTGGCTTCCAGGCTTTATCTAAGCCTAGTGTTGCACATGTGTGGGAAATGTTGGTTCTGGCAAGAACTAGTTTGTTCTATATGACACCATTTTCATTTTAAAAGACTAGTGATTCCTAACTCACTACAAACAGAAATACCTATAGACATGCATGTGTGCAAGTAGGTTACCCGTTCTGGGAGTTCCTTATTAAGTGCCAATGCCACATGCTGGCTGGAATGTGATCCTAAGCTTCCTGGTGACCAGTCTGTACCTCACCTTGAAGCACAGAGTCCTGTTGTACTGGGCTCTTGCTTGGGAGGTTTTCTTGGCCATATCCAAACAGGCCATGGTGTTTTCCCTCCAACGGCGTAACACCCACCTGCAAAGACATGGGCCACGTGATCAATAACCCCAGTTTGAAGGGCCTGGGAGGAGTCTGTGAATCAACCTTACCCCTCCCAACTCCTGAGTAAGGGCTCTGCCTCAGAGCACCTGTTCGCTGTCCCTGAGACTTATGCTCTCGTCTACGCCCAGCAGCAGATGCTGAGTGCCCGCTCTGTGCCAGGTACTAGGCGGGACCAGGAGGCCAGCAGTACACCAGGCCATCACTGAGTCCTCCAGAGTTTACGTGATAACACGAACACAGCTGGAGCCAGATGGCAACTGTTGGGTGATTCACAAGATAAGAGGCACATGAACCCTAGTGCCTACTTGCCAGTGTCTATCTATCTGAGGGACTGGATGGAACTCTGTGGGACTTCCGGCACAGTGGCTGTGTTTAAAGCCCACACTGCCCATGGCTACACTCAGCCAGAACAGCGTGTCCAGCTGAGCAAGAATGCGCTCAGAGCTTGATTGTGAGGAGTGGAGGTGGGCCTTGAGTACCCTTGCTCTATGCCAGGGACTCGAGAGGGGCAGCTGGAAGGGCTGCCTGGGAGCTGGTAGGTACGCAGACAGACAGACTGAAGACTCCAGACAGGAGTGGGGATGAACGCCACAAGAGGTACAAAGCGTCAGGTGTGAAACAGAGAGGGAAGACACTCTGAGGAACAGGACAAGCGGGGTCCATGTGGGCCTCTGCCTTTGAAGGTTACCCTGCACCGACATGGCAGGACATCAGGACATGCTGAGGCGGGCAGAAAACCCACCCACACCTGACTCGGGAGTCTCTTTCCCAGCCCGAGTACTTCAAGGCACTCAGACACTCACTCACCTCAGCAGCTGCCTGTCATGCTCTCTCTCCCTGGCTGCCACCTCCTGTAGCACACGCCTCACCCTGTCGTGGTAAGTCTGGGGAGATGAGAGGATTGGAGGCCACCCTTGGGCCCACACCTCCCTCTATACAAGTCAGTCTCAGAGGTGCAGTTACCACAGCGGCTGCCATGCCCAGAGCTATCCAAGAGTGGAAAGGGGGGAAAGGCCCCCATTCCAAGGCCAGCACCTGCCCCCCCCCCGTTATGATGTCCCACAAGGCCCAGCTCCTGGACTCCTATGCGGAAACCAGCTTTCCAGGAAGGCTGGGACCTCGGGCAGCACTTTTTGGGGTACCTGCTCTGTTTGAGCCTTGCCAGATCACTTTGGGAGGGAACACGAACACCTCCAAAAATCTCCCCACCCCAAAGCAAGGAACCTGGAAGGGTGAGCTGGCTCCTACCAGCCACTTCCGCAGAGCCCTGTGAAGTAGGGTGTGCTGGCTGTGGAGAGCTGCACGCCCCAGCTTTTGCTGCTCTTCCGTCCTCAGGGCCAAGCACTGTGCACAGGAAAGAGTGGGTACTGTGGGCCCAAGGGCTGGGGGTTGAGGGAGGCTCCTTGTCTCTCTATTTTACATTCTGTGAGTTCACATAAGTGGAATACACTACTTGAGCCTCAGTCTTATCTATAGATTTATACTGCCTAGGGGTTGGTGGGTGTCAAATGAGCAAGGGTCCAACAGGAAATGCTGGACAGGGTTTGGCTTCAACATTATAACCTCAGCAGAGTTTCTGTGAACGGCCAGACCAAGGTCTTTACAAGAAGTTCAGATAAGAGCAGTCTGACACATAAAGGACAAGAAACCTTGAGCCGGCCCCTCACAACAGTGAGTTAGCACCGCCGCTGCCTTTGGTCAGGGCACCCTGAAGGAGCCTGCTGTCTGCTCTGAGTCATGCAGATAAACAGCCCCACCCGTCCAAAAGCCAAACTCAGGCCGTGCCCATGCCAAAGCCTTACCTCGCTCCACATGCTCCAGGCCCCACGCAGGAGCCGTGCTGAGTGGAAGTGTGCAGCCCGTGCCCTGCCCATCCTCCTGTGGGGAGACAGGAGAAAGCTCGGCAGGGTCTGGACCACAAGGGGCCTCAGGACTCCCCTGTGCAGCCCTGATTCTCTTCCCCACTCAGCTCTGCGAGTGAAGAGCTAATGACCTGGGCCTCTCCCAGGAAAGGGCACAGAGATTCAAATTTTTGCAGGTTAACCTGATGGCTTCCAGGCCAGACATCTCTGCATTAGATAAAAGGGCGGCAAGCACTCCCCACTGTAGCCCCATGGTCTGGTAAAAACTGCCCAACCTGCCCACTAGCCAGTGGTCAGCCGCCTGACAATGGGCTTATTAGTCTCTGTGCACCACTGGCCACAGCCACTCAAGGGCCCCAGGCAGGAAGCAGGATGCGGCTTCTCAGCACCGTGACAGTGAATGATGGATCCCAAGATGTTGTCCCTGTTTCAGGGTATATTTCTGGGACCCACAACCAGCCCCAGCTGACTGACACAACACTACAGGTGGGCACTTGAAGCTGCTGCCAAAGCTGGCCCGAGGGGGTAAGGGGCTCTGTAGTAGAAAGCTGCTCACTCTGTCCTAAGTCCTTGGGCACTTCCCTTCCAGACACAGAAAGCCCTCCTGAGCAGCCTGTGGTGGTGGTGGGCACAGGCCATAGTTTGCTGCTCCCGTTCTCGGTGACATGCTGCTGCCTGCTGGTGCCACATGAACCAGGACCTCCGCAAAAGCTGCTGCTCTGCCTGCAGTATAGCCTGAAGCAGGATGGGAGGAAACAGTCCAGTCCAGGAGGGGAGCAGATCAGAGACTAAAGGAGACTCTGTGACCAGCAAAAGAAATGCCCCCAGTGGCTGCCTGTGACCTGAGCTGACATCAATGTCCTGATCCTCCCAGGCTCGGGAAACCCAGGCAAGAGCCGGGCAGGGTGTGCTGGAGTTTGTGCAGCTTCTAGAAGAATGGCCCAGGACAAGTGCTTAAAATGGATCCTCCCCCCAAGAACCCACACAAGGAGAACCACACACCATTCTCTCAGCCAAGTGGTTTTCTCGGTGCTGGTACATCTTCTGCCGCCAGATAGCAAACACTTGCCTTGATAATGTCTCCCTACACACATGCAAATGAGAAAACCTGAGCAACAGTCAAGCATTTACAATGAAAGACAAACAGAAATCTAATGAAGGCTGATTGGTGAGATGGCTCTAAGCAAGTTTGGCTCCCAGGGAGCTAAAATGATACCACTCAGCTCCTTGACCTTTTTAATTCTATGCATGACTATGGTTCTAAGGCAGTGGTTCTCAACCTTCCTAAAGCTGCCACCCTTTAATACAGTTTCTCATGTTGTGACCCCCAACCAAAGTTACTTTCACTGCTTCTTCATAACTATAATTTGCTACTGTTATGAATTGTAATGTAAATATCTGTGTTTTCCAATGGTCTTGGGCAACCCCCTGTGAAAGGGTTGTGTGACCCCTCCAATGGGTCACAACCACTGTTCTAAGACTTCAAAAGACTGTATCTTATAGGATAGGAGAGCAGTGTTTTAGGGAAGTCGCCCAGTGTGAGGATTCACCAAAGGTCTCATTACAACAGGAAACTCAGATAGTGCTCATGGAAAGCACTTGCAATAAAGATGGACAAAAGTGTCCCCAGGGAAGTACTGGCTGATTTTTCCTGACGTGAGATCAAAAGGCCCTCATTACTGGGCAAACAGTAAAGCAAAGCCAAGGCATCCTAAAGTTTGCAGAGTTAGATCAGAGCTGTGTCCTAGACAGATGGGAACCAAATGCACAGCATACCTGTGAAAACGCACTGCTCTTGTGTGGAGGACTTGACTGTGATGGTGCCATCGCCAGAGTCTGTACCACATATGGAAGGCAGCAGGCAGCGCTCTGTGCTGGAAATGACCATCGGCTCTGGCCTGCAGTAACTTAAAGCAAAATAACAAATGGCCTTTGTGATTTACCTTTTGCAAAAGCATGTTCGGAGTCACTCTGTTGAGATAAGATTTGCTTCTCATACAAGTAAGAACTGAAGGGAAATGTTATGTTTGATCTTTGCCAATTCCCTAGGTGAAAAATGTACCATGAGCCAGCGTGGTGGCACATGCCTTTAATCCCAGCATTCTCCACACCCACATGATGGTTCACAGCCATCTGTAACTCTAGTCCCTTTAGGTCCTATACCCTTTTCCAGCCTCTGTGGGTACTAGGCACACATGAGGCACACAGACAAACACGCAGACAAAATACCTATACACATTGAATAAAAAAAAAAAAAAAAAAAAAAAAAGAAAAAGAAAGAAATCCTGGGGCTAGAAAATGGCTCAGTAGTTAAGAGCACTTGGGTTCAGTGCCCAGGTTAAGGGCCCAGGTTCAGTTTCTAGCCCCCAAGTCAGGCAGCTCACGGTCCTGTAATTCCAGGACTGTGACATCTCACACCTGCTTCTGACCTACACAGACACTACATTCATGAGCACATACATGTGGACATGTGGAAATGCACATAGACATAATTTAAAATGTTTCCAATGTGGGACGTGGTGGCTGCGTAGTTAAGGCGATGGACTGCTAAAAATGTTTCCAAAGGATGAATCTAGGGCTAGAGGGGTGGTTCAGTGGTTAACAGTATGTGTTCTTCCTGCAGAGGACCCAGATTCAGTCACCAGGGCCCTAATGATGGCTCGCAACTGTCTACAACTCTAGTTCCAGAGGATCCAACGCCCTCTTCTGGCTCTACAGGCACTGTACTCATGTGCACACACATGCAGACACACACACATGTAAATAACATTTGTAAAAAATGTTCTTAAAAAACAAGTCTAATGAATACGCATGAACTTACCTTCCCACTCAGCAACAAATAGGTATTTTATCATTCTGTATGTGACTTTTTAAAAAAAATATTTACTTTTATTTCATATGCATTCATGTTGTGCCTGCATGTATGCCTATGTGAAGGTGTCAGATTTCCTGGAACTAGCATTACAGGCAGTTATGAGCTGTCAGGTGGGTGCTGGGAATTGAACCCTGAGCTTCTGGAAAAGCAGCCAGTGCTCTTAACCACCGAACCATCTGTCTAGTGCCTTATGTATGTTACTTTTGCTTGCTTGATAGTTTGTTTTTTTCAGACAGGGACTCTCTATGTAGCCCTGGCTGTCCTGGCACTTACTCTGTAGACCAGGCTGGTCTCAAACTCACAGAGATCCTCCTGCCTCTGTCTCCTGAGTGCTAGGATCAAAGGTGTGTGTGTGCCCTCATGTCAGGCCTGTTTTAATTTTGTTTTTTTGGTTTTTTTTTTGTTTTTTTGTTTTTTTTTTTTTTTTGAAACATGGTTTTGCTGAGTATTGCAGGCTCACTATATGTAGCTAGACGAGCTTGGAACTCATAATCACCCTCCGTCAGTCTCGAGTGCTGGGATCGTAAAAGGACAAGAGGCCCCATTGGTGACCACAGTACTTTCATTTCTTCCCTTTTTTGGTTTCTCTGTGTAGCCCTGGCTCTCCAAGAACTCTTCTATAGACCAGGCTGGTCTCCAACTCAGAGATCCGCCTGCCTCTGCCTCTCAAATGCTGGGGTTAAAGGTGTGCGCCCCCCACCCCCCACTGCCTGGCTTACATTACTTTTTAGAAGAACCTCGCAAGGAATAATCTGTGTTTCCCTAAAGAGGAAGAACTGTGCTCCTGGGATAGTGCAATGACAGGTGATCCTAACGTCGTTCTCAGCAAAGGCTTTTACAGAGCAGTGGCCAGGGCATGCGCCTGCTGCTCGCTGACCTATTCCCCTCCAGAAGCAGGCTGAGCTAGAGCAGCAGAGACTTAACCTGCGTCTTCTGGCCACTATGGGAAACTCTTCTCTTTTTGGTTTGTTTTCTTGAGACAAGACACAGTGTAAGACAGCCTCAACTGGAAAGAGAAGTGCCAGAATTACAGGCAAGTAAGCTCTCTTTTTCAAATCACATTTTTGTGTGTTTTTTGTTGCTCACTTGTTTTATGAGACAGGGTCTCCTGTAACTCAGGCTGGTCTTGAACTTGCTATGCATCTGAGGATGACCTTGAAATCTACTTATTTTTCATTTTATGTGCACTGGTGTCTTGCCTGCATGTATGTCTGTGTGAGGGTGCCAAGTCCCCTAGAACTGGAGTTGCAGACAGTTGTGTATAGCACAAGTTCTAATAGATCTTAATAATAAAAACCCAGAGTCAGATATCAGGGTGAATGCTGAAAGATCAGAAAAGTAAAGGAACACCCACTAGAGAGACTTACTTCTACTGAATGCTCGGACCAAAGGGGCGATCCTGTCCCTACAAATCCTTAGACTGAATGCAATTAGCTCCTGTCTCATCTGCCCTCCTCTCTCCTCCCAGCCACATCACTCCTGTCCCCACCTCCCTAGTGCTGGGATTAAAGGCGTGAGCCATCACCGCCTGGCTACTTCCCTTTTAGATTGGATCAATCTTGTGTAGTCCAAGGGGGCCACCTCTGCCTCTGCCTCCCCAATGCTGGGATTAAAGGTGTGAGCTACCACTGACGCCGGTGGCTAACTAGTGTGGTTAGCTCCGCAATCTGATCTTCAAGCAAGCTTTATTTGTTAGATCACAAACATCACTACAGTTGTGAGCCAACAGGTGGGTGCTGGGAACTGAACCTGGGTCCTCTGGAAGAGTGGTCAGTGCCCTTAACCGATGAGCCATCTCTCCAGCCCTGACATTGAACTTCTTATCCTTCTGTCTGTACTGCCCAAGTGGTAGAATGGTGGGTATGAAGCAGCATACCTGGCTCCTTTTTTTCCCCGGGGTCATCTCACAATGCAGCCTGAGTTGGTCTGAACATCACTATTCAAAGTGACTTTGAACCTGGCAGCAATCCTCTACCTCTGCCCCTTGGGTGCTGGCATTACAGGTATGTACCACTGCACCCCGCTTCCACATAACCCCCAGAAGCTCATCCATGCAAATGAATCAGCACTCACTGGTGAGCACTGTGCTGAGCTAAAACAGACAAGTGTGGTGATATTATGATTTATTAAAGCTTACCTGAGGATTCAGAAAGCAAAGCCAGCCTCAAGCAATAGAGATCAGATAGTGATGGTATACATCTTTAATCCCAGGGGTCAGGATTAAGAGACAGACAGATCTCTGATAGTTCAAGGCAACAATAACTACACAATTGATCTAGTCCTAAAAGAAACAGTTCAAATAAAGGTGATCTCAGCACTTGGGATTAAGCACCTTTACTCCCAATGCTAGGGAGGTGGAGACAAGAACTCAGAGTCGTTTGCCTCTGAGGATTCTTGGAGACAGGATTGCCATTTCAGATGGGTAGAAGCAAGATCTACTGGCTTGGCTGCTTTGCTTCACTGATCTTCAGCTTGAAGCTTGAACTCCAATATTGGTCTCTGGGTCTTCTATTTATTATTACAGGCAGGCCATACCCTTAAGAAGCTACAGACTAGCCTGGTATGATTGTGTACTCCTTTAAACCCCACAGTCAGGAAGCAGAGGCAGGAGGATCTCTATGAGCCCAAGACCAGCCTGGTCTGCAGAGTTGAGTTCCAGGACAGCCAGAGCTACACAGAGAAACCCTGTCTTGGAAAAAACAACAGCAGCAGCAGCAGCAAACAAAAGAAGCAGCAGCCACAGGCTAACTGGAAAGAGAAGTTAGCATACAATTATATGTTAATGCTCTGATTAACTACACAGGAAGAGTGACAGGCAAGGGAACACCTGAGCTGACAGGGTCATGAGCTCCAGAGAACTCTAGGTACAGCAAGGGCAGAAGCACACAGAACACTCAGGGATGACAGAGGGCAACACCTTCTTCTGGCCTTATGGGCACCTGCACACGTCACATAACATACAACACACATGTCACATACATAACACACATTACTTTAAAAAAAAAAAAAAACAATTTCATTTAGCATTCCAGACACCTGTACCCAACTGTCTTAAGTGACCTGCAAGTCACACTCCCCTACCACCCTGGCTTAAGTCTGAGAGAGCAGAAAGTCTGCTGTACCCTTAGTACAGGCACAAGGCCTAAGGCAAAGAAGGTGTGCAGTAGGCATCTCTTCTGTGGGGACCAGGCAGGGTGGCACGCTCCATAATCCCAGCACTTTGGGGAATGACACAGGGAGGTGAGGGACACATGGATGTGAGTGAAGACAGAAGGCTGAGAAGAGCCGCTCCTTCCCAACAGCGCCTGTGTCTTCTAGCAATGAAGGAATGGGAGTTGTGCAGACTAATGCCAGTGAGGGCTGGAGAGGAACCACCTCTCCCCCAAAGCAGAATCAGGTTTCCTGGCATCATAAGCCTTTCCCAAGCATCTTCCCAAAGCTAGCGAATCCCACTAGATTCGATGTGCTCCATACCTGCTGGCGTCTTCTCTTGTGCACATATCGTAACCATACCCTGACACACTTCTGTAAGACTGTCATCCTGGAACAAAGCACGAAAAAAATCAAAGAACTGTATATTGGCAATGTCAGGTGTCAAGCTGTTAATGACTCTACTGTTTCTAAGGCAGCTGCTCCTGGGTACAGTAACTTCCTGAGGGATCAGGGCACCCCAGGGGCTTACTGGCTTCACCCTCAGAGAGAGGAAAGTGAAGAACTTACTAACAGGAAGCCACTGTTTCCTGATCTTGAGCATTGGCTGGCTTTAAACTTTCAGCACTTTCCTGGGGTCTCTTTGGTTGACTTTTTGTAGGGCTTCACCTGTGCTAGGCAAGCGCCTACTGCTGAGCTACACCCCAACCCCTGGCGACCCACCAGGAACCTAATTAGATTACCAATCAGTGTGCCTAGGATTTAGGATAGGAAACCTCCTGGGAACCTGAACTTCTGGAGTCACAGCCCTCTGGGGCTGCTTATCTAGGACTCTCAGCACACAGAGCTGTCATGCAGTGACACTGAATGTGATCACATGCTTGGCCTTGTAAGCCAGGATTTAGACTAATCACACACCTTGATAACGCTGATTGAGTCAGCTCTTTTTTTTTTTTTTTTTTTTTTTTTGTCTTTTTAATTTTGTGTGTAAGTGTTTGCTTGCTTGCATGCATGTGTGCGCGCCTCTGTTGTCTGGTACCCATAGGGAGCACTGGGTCTGTAACTGGAGTTACAGATGGTTGTGAGCCATCTGTTGTGGAACTAAGCCATCTCTCCAGCCCCAAATATTAGGATTCTGTTTTGTTTTTTTTTTTTTTTTTTTAATTTTCTTGACACAGCATTTTTGTGTGACCCTCGCTGTCCTGGAACTCATTGCCTGCCTCTGCCTGCTTCAATCTCATCTTGCCTACGCTAAGCAAGCACTTTGCCACTGAGCTACATTACCAGCCACAACGGACAAGCTCCAAAAGGCCCTGCAGGAGAACTGAGGCAGTGGCAGCGGTCAAATAGGTACACAGCGGTGCACAAGATCTAATGCAAGCTGCATCATCTCACCTCCCATGTGACCTGCCAAAAGCAAACCACACTCAGGAGCCATTACTCTCTGGTGTGGCCTTCACGAGGATAAGGTCCTTATGGTTTTCTGTTTACTTGCTTGCTTGTTGGTTTTCTGTGATTTGTTCCCGGTGTGTCAGATAAGTGTGATTATAATATGTGGACAAGAGAAGCTGCAAGCAAAGATACACACAGGTCTCACTGTGCAGCCCTGGCTGTCCTAGAACTTGCTATGTAGACCAGGCTGGACTTGAACTCACAGAGACCCACTTGCCTCTGCCTCCTGAGTACTAGGATTAAGGGCATAGTCCACACCTGGCTATAAGGCCTTTCAAAGTCTGAAAAACTCACTTGTGCCAGGGCAGTCTCCCTGGAAAACCCTACATCCAAACCACCAGGTGTCCCTAGAGAGGTCAAGACTGAATCAAGCTCCTACCTGTAGTGGCTCCGGGCTGCATGCAGTGAGGGCGGCTGCACCCTCTCCTCCCTCTGCTCAACTCGAGACTGCCAGAGGCTCCAGAACCTGCGAAGCAGCTGAGCAATGACAGGAAGAAAGCAAGAGTGTAACAGTGAGAAATGAGAAGAGGCCTCTTAGTATAAGTGAATTCCCACAGAGCTCTGCCTCAGGAGCAGCCCACAATAGCGCCTAAGGAGCCAGACTCTGAGCCAGCATAAATGGCTCTTCTAGGAGACAGGCAGCCACATGAAAACAGTGAGCCTGGGTACTACAGAAGCCATTCTGTTTATTTGTTTGTTTGTTTTAGAGTCAGGATCTCACTATGTAGCCCAGGCTTAAACCCATGATCCCCTTGCCTCCATCTCCTAAATAGTACAATTATAGGCATCGTACTATCACCTTCAGTAGACAATACCATTTTTCAAAGTCATTTAGAAATTTTACATATTGGTACATAGGAAATTGCTGTCAAAGTGTTTAATTTCCATGTCTAAGCCTCTGGGTCTACTGTCTAGTTTATAAGAACTACACAGGGTAAAGGAAAATTAAATTATAAAAAAAAGGAGCAGACAGCCAGGCATGGTGGTATACACCTTTAATCCCAGCACTCAGGAGGCAGAGGCAGACAGATCTCTGGGGGTCCAAGGCCAGCCTGGTCTACAACGTAAGTTCCAGGACAGTCAGGGCTGTTACACAGAGAAACCCTGTCTTAATAACACCATTAAAAAAAAAAGAACAAATATATTGAAAAGGAAGATCATAATAAAAACAACTAGCCTGACCTCTTCAAAGAGACAATGTCATCGTCAAGAAAAAAATACTCATTGTGCTAAATGAAAATAAGCCAGTCTGGCTGGAGAGATGGCTCAGCAGTTAAGAACATGACTGGTCTTTCAGAGGTCCTGAGTTCAATTCCCAAGCTCATAATCACCTTGAATGAGAGATCTGGTGCCCTCTGCTGACATGCAGGCAGGACACCGTATACATAATAAATCAATAAATAAACAAATAAACAAAATTTAAAGAAAAGAAGAAAAGAAGCCAGTCACAAAAGGACAAATAGTCACGATTCTCGTGATAGAGACAGAAAGAGTAGCTGCCAACCAGGGAAAGAACAATGGTGTTGCTTGGGTACAATGCGAGTTTAGTTTTGTTTTCAGAAGGGTCAGGGAAGCTCTGGCTTTGCTATCAAATAATAAATATTTGGCCGGGCAAGATGCTGAAGTGGGTAAAGACACTTGTGATGTAAGCCTGACCCATCCGAGTTCCACTCAGTGGAAGCAGAGAGCCAGCTTCCGAGCCCCTCCCTCCCTCCTTCCTGCCCTCCCCCCACCCCCAATCTACACTTTAAGAAAAACTACAACTTTTATGTGTGTTTTGCTACAATTAAAAATATAAAAACTGGGGACTTGATTTTTTTTTTTTTTTAGAAGACCACAGTTTGGTTTCCAGCACCAACATCGGTGGCTCATCACAGCCTGAAACTCGAGCTCCAGAGAATCGAGACTTCTTAGTCCGAAGGCGAAGAGAATGCTGCTCTAGGTGAGGCGCTGAGGAGACATAATGGCCATGGGCAGAGCAGTGGGTTCCCGGGATGGGGGCACAGGAAGATGGAAAACTGAGGCAATTCTGGGCTACGCACAGACTGTCTTCAGACAGACAAATGAGTCACAACAGAGAGGAGCACGTGAGCCCTAACTGAATCCTAAGTTGAAAGGACATTCTGAAGGACAATTATGAAAATTCTGAAAATGGCCTGGATGGAGGCAGAACACTGCTGTTAATTTTGCTAGGGATTATAGAGATCTTTTATGGTTTGTAAAAAACTGTTTGGGGTTAATGCATACTGAAGTATGTAAGTGTTTACAATTATTTGGGGGAAAATTTGAAGCAAATAATAATGAAGAGTCCAGCCAGTATATAGATCATTATATAGATCATTATACTAATTCTTTCTGGGGTTTTTTTGTTTTTGTTTTTGTTTTTGTTTTGTTTTTTTTTTTTTTTTTTTTTTTTTTTGGTTTTTTGAGACAGGGTTTCTCTGTGTATCTCTGTCTTTTCTGGAACTCACTCTGTAGACCAGGCTGGCCTCAAATTCACAGATTCGCCTGCCTCTCCCTCTGCACTAATGGTGTGTACCACCACCACCCAGCTAATACTGTTTTACTGTGTGCTTAATCATTGAAATAAAAAGGAAACAAACCTATACTCAGAAACAGAACCAATGAGGAGAGCCATTGCCCTTGGAAAACACACACAGGACGCAGCAGCTTATATCACCCAGGGTGTCCTAGTCAGGGTGAAAAGGGCTGCTACCATCAGAGTCAAATACTGACTTTCCCAGCAGACTAGGGTGGGGTGGGGTGGGTGGGAAGCCCTAATGAAGAGTTGAAACAAATCTATTAGCAGGTGCAGATTAACAAAGAAAATAGGCATTATTGTTTTTGAGTGTAAAATCTAGATGAAGTGCCATGCACATTGTGCACACCTACAATACCAGGACTCTGGAGGACTGTGAAGTCAAGACCAGCCCAGCCTATACAGTGAGTCTGAGGCCCACCTGAGCTAACCACACACCAAGGCCCTGCCTGGGGGGGGGGGGGGCACGGCAATTCTCACCGTGGTGTCATGCAGCTGGTGAGCAAGGTTCCTTCTTACTCGACAGAGACGGGCCTGGGTCACATTGTCTTTTAAGGCTCTAAAGCAAGAATACTGCACACAGAAATGACACGGGGGTTATAAAGCAGCATCAGCATCTGTGACAGGAAAGCAGTATCAAAAGCCAGTGTGCTTCAGGGCCCCTTCATTTCCCTGGAGTTTCTCTACCTTGCACTTAATGTAACTAAACCTATCTAGTCTCAGTAACACTGGCTACACACAAAAACACGCCCTTGCCTCTGAACAGGAGGCAGACTTGCCATGACCCACAGGAAAAATAATTTTTAAAATGTTAAATATTCTTCCCTTCACTCGATCTTCCAGATCCCTCACGTTCTCCTCCCCAATATCCCCTCCTCCTTCCCCTAGCTCCCCCCGCCCTCCCCCACCCCTGTGCTCCCTTTCCCCTTCTCCTGGAGGACCATGTGTGTCTCTCCCAGGGTCTTCCTTGTTCTCCAGCTTCTCTGGGGTGTGGACTGCAGGCTGGTTGTCCTTTGCTCTATGTCTAATATCCACTTAGGAGTGAGTACATACCATGTTTGTCTTTCTGTGTCTGGGTCCTGCCCCAAATGATGTGTCAGAATATGATGATCCCTCATGGGAGGCCTCACCCTCCCTGGGGAGTGGACTGGGGATGGGACGGGGTGGTTTGTGGGGAGCATGGGAGCATGGGAGGAAGAGGGAAGTGGGATTGATATGTAAAATAAGACTGTTTAATTTAAAAATAAATAAAGGTTGAATATTGGCTGGGCCTGATGACCCCTGCCTTTAATCCCAGACTTGGGAACCACCTAAGAGTTAATGTGTATGTTCATTTGCATAATTATAACTGTGGCTTGCCAGAATAAACTGAGATGAATCTGTGATGGTTGGCACTCATTGTCAACTGGACAGGATCTAGGACAATCTGGGATCAGGCCTCTGGTGCTGCCTAGACTGCCTCGCTGACTTAACCTCACTCCTGGCTGGGATCCAGGACTGCACAGGCTGACAACATCACAGGCTGTCCCAGGCTCCTGCCGCCTTGACAGACTGTGACTTCAACTGCATGTTTAAATGAATTCTTTCCATCTCTGAGTTGCTTTTCCTGAGACATTTTAGAACAGCAACAGAAAGACACTAGGACAGAACCCTTGGACCCACATTCCCAGCTCTGTCACATATAAACAAAGCCAAGAGTGAAGAGGTTGACCTGGGTTAGGGATTTCCACACTGTCCTGTGAAGCACCTGAGGCTCCTAAGGTCTCTGAAGGCCAGCTCCTGAGAAAGGGCAGCCCACAGGACAGGAACCACAGGACAGGACAATTCAGGCTTAGGATCAAGACTTCCATCTTACACATTGGGTCTCTGCCACTCAAAAGAGGCTGAGTGTAAAACGCCAGGATCTGACGCCCTGTGAGGTCCCTGATTCCACCTATTACTCTCAGTTTCAAAACTACAGCTAACTCGGAACTGGCTGCACTCAGGGGCTGGTATGGGGCAGGAGCTCCAAGAGGATGCCTCCACGGCTGCTCTGGACCCTGGGACTCTTACCAGGAGGTAGTGCCGGTGGTGTTCTTCTGCTGCCACGTGCTGGGCAGCCTCTTCTGCCTGTAGCAGCATGACTGACAGGAATTCTGTTAAGGTCTCCAGTCTAACGCGGCTCCTGGCCCAACACAGTATGTATACTTCCGGTGAGCCAGCCACCTACAGGGCATGGCCGTAAGCATAACAGGCCTGCTAGGCAGTCTGATAAACACCACTGTCTCCTCCTGGTGGTCCAGGAAGGCACAGGGGAGCTCTATCAAACAGCCAGTCAGGCCTCTATCCTCTTGATGCCCATTTGAGGCACAGTCTAGGATAACTTGCCACCTAGTTCCATAAGCATTTGAAGGCATCACCTAGCAAGCAGACCTTGATTGTTTGGCATCACGGTCCAGTCAGATGACTGAGCTGGGAGCTTCAGTTATTTTCAGATCAGATCTTTTCTCATCTCACAATCCTCATGCACTCAGCTAACATCCCATCTGCTCGGCTCTCACCGCCTGCTTCTCTCCTATCCAATTACTGACTCGTCCCTCACAGGCCTCCTCACACAGCTGGTCCCACATCTCTGAGCAAGTCTTTCTAATCTAGGACCATCCAGCTCTTTTAAAAATTTCAAATTACATTCATCTGTGTTTGTGTGCATGCATGTGCCACGGTGAAGGTCAGAGGAAAACTTGCAGGACTTTCTTCTACCAAGAGGGTTCCAAGATGCAAACTCAGATCATGAGATTCAGCAGCAAGCTATGTTCACTGGCCCTAGAAACATCTTTTTCAAAGCACAAATTTAAATGCATTGATTCTTATGAAAACTCCTGAAGCTCTTGGGTGCCATCAGGGTGCAAACCCCAGAGTGTGGCACACAGGGCTCTATGGAAGGTCCCCAGACCACACTGACACTCCCAGGAGCCACGCTCACCACATACCTGTTTTGGTTTTTTCTGAGATAGGGTCTTAGTGTGGAACTCATTATGTTGACCAGGTTGGCCTCAAACTCAGAGGTCTGCCTCCCTCTGCCCCAAGTGCTGAGATTCAAGGTGTGTACCGTCACAGCTCAACAGTAAACCTGTGTAAATACTCAGCCTCTCCAGGAGAATTTTCATCACCTAGGACTTATATCAGCACAGGTGTTTCTTCCTTGCCTAATACCAGAAACCTTTTACTTTATTTTGTTTGAAGACAGGATTTCTGTGTAGCCCTGGCTGTCCTAGAACTTACTATGTAGACCAGGCTAGCCTCCACTCAGACAGAGATCAACCTGCTTCACCTCCAAAGTGCTGGGATTAAAGGCGTGAGATCCCACCTCTGGGCACATTTTACTTTAAAAACCAAAACCAACAAAGTCTGAAATAGGGACTGGATATGTTGTCAGGCTGGTCTTGCATTTAAGATCTACCTCACTGTTCCTGAGTGCTGGGCACACAGGCATGGCTCTGGTACAGGCCTTCAGTAGCTCTATCACACCGTACTGTCAAGACCTGTTTTCCTATTGGACAAAGAGTGCTGTGAGTCTTTGGTCCCCCTGTGTGATGGTTAAGTTTGATACAGCCAGAATCACTTGGGAAAAGGGACTCTGAGAAAATGCCTCCATCAGATTGGCCTATAAGCATGCCAGGGTCCAGCCCTCTGTGAGTGGTGCGAACGGTAGGCAGATGGTCCTGGATTGTTTAAGAAGCAAGCTGAGAAGCCTTGGAGAACAAACCATTGAGCATCGTTCCTCTGCTTCAGTGCCTGCCTTGAGGGCCTACCCCACCTTCCATCAGGTGAAACAAACTCTCTCCTCTCCGAGCTGCTGTTGGCCATGATGTTTATCCCTGCAACAGAAACCTACCCAAGACACCAGATACAAGAACTTATGCTGGAGTGCAACATGAATCAAGACTTGAATGGGCAAATGTAAGGATGGGCATCTGAGATATGCAGATCCTCACAGTGTGGACATCCTGGGTGTGTGTGTGCGTGTGCGTGTGTGTGTGTGTGTGTGTGTGTGTGTGTGTGTGTGTGTTCAGGCCACTGCAAAGGATACAGTGCTTCCAGTGTGCAAAGGCCCTCCTCAGAGCCATCTTCTTGGCCAGCTTCTCCACCAAGGCCTGGTGGGCAGAAAGGCTCTGCCTCCACTCCCAGGCCCACTGCCAGTCACAGAAATGTATCTGGAGCACAGTGACACGGTGGAATTGTGCAGCCATTTCTGCAATAGAGGAATAACTCTTAGGTACTGTTCCCCGTGAGGAGGGAGAGGATACAAAGGCTGGACACTACTACTGGCAGGGAGCAGGGATTCGAGCGCACTCCCCACTCCCCAGGAAGAGCCCTTATTAAAGGTTTTAGGTTGACAATGTAGCTCAGTGAGAAAGTGTGTGCACAGACCATGTGAGGCTCCTTTGGTTCAACCACAAAACAAAAGAGTTGTCTAGACACTAGTAGGTTACTGAACCTCTAGAATTACTTCTCTCTCCAAGAAAAATGGTCTGTGGTTTAGGAAGTGCTATGGCTAACCCTGCCAACTTCACACATTTGGGAAGAGGGAACTAGTTGACTGTCTCCATCAAACTGGACTGTGGAATGTCTGTGAGGCCACTGGTTTTTGTTGTTACTGTTTTTGTTTTAGTTAGTAACTGATTGATATAGGAGTGCCCAATCCATTGTGAGCAGCGCCATCTCTGAGCAGGTGGGCCTAGGCCTTATAAGAAAGGTAACTGAGTAAGACAGCAGGAAGGAGGTAAGCCAGAAAGCAACACTCCTCCATGGCCTCTGCTTTAGTTTCAGCCTCCAGGTCCCCGCCTTGACTTCCCTTAATAATAGACTGTAAACTATAAGCCAAATAAATACTTTCTTTCCCCCAAGTTGGTTTGGTCAGAATTTTATCACAGCAACAGAAACCAACCAATAAAGGAGGAACATGCAATAAAATATTTTCTCCCCAAGGGCTGCCAATATGAAGAATGATAATGGACATTTCCAAAGATACTGTTTGAAATTTGCCTCTACTTGGGGGCTTCCTGGATAGGATCAGTCTCCAAGCACACGACACACCACTCCAGTGACCATGGTGGCAAAAAACTTCCTGAGCTGACCCTAGCTGCCAGGCACATGTACTTCCAACACTAATCAGCTGATAGTCGTGGTAGAATATTATTTTAAGGTGTGTGACTTTTGTTTATGCTGCATTTGTTTAACTCGATGAAGCTGTGATTCTTTGCTTGTCTAAAACACCTGGTGGTCTAATAAAGAGCTGAACGGCCAATAGCGAGGCAGGAGCAAGGACAGGCAGGGCTGGCAGGCAGAAAGGATAAATATGAGGAGAAAGCTAGGAGGAAAAAAAGATCTGGGAGCAAGAGAGAACAAGGAGAGGACGACTTCAGAGGCCAGTCACCCAGCCAGCCACGGAGTAAGAGCGAAAGTAAGATATGCAGCAGTAAGAAAAGGAAAAAGGCTGGGCATTGGTGGCGCATGCCTTTGATCCCAGCACTCGGGAGACAGAGGCAGGTGATCTCTGTGAGTTCAAGGCCAGTCTGATCTACAGAGCAAGTTCCAAGTCTCCAAAGCAATACAGAGAAACTCTGTCTCGAAAAACCAAAAGGAAAAAAAGAAAAGAAAAAAAAGAAAGAAAAGGAAAAAGCCCAGAGGCAAAAGACAGTTGGGATAGTTTAAGAAAAGCTGGCAAGGAACAAGCCAAGCTAAGGCTGGGTGATTATAAGAAAGAATAAGACTGCACGTGATTTATTTGGGAGCTGGATAGAGGGCCCCCCAAAGAGTGCAAAAAGCCAAAGAGGAAAACATCGCATAACAGCTGATGAACTGAGACCTCCAAAGTAGGCTGCAGCTTGAGGCATGAGATAAAACTCATCATGCTCATGAGTCTAAAAGCCTTTGCTTTCCACTATGCTCCAACAGACACAGGGAACTCTGCCAGGCTGATGTTGGTGGCCTAAGAGGTAAGTGGGATTCACTTGGATGAGAGCCTGAGAGCCTAACCTAGGGTCTGGTCCAGTGTTTGATTCGCTCCTGTGTAAACTCAACAAGCTTGCTTACAAAAGGCATCGCGATCATGCTGCTAGGGTGACCTGGACCAGCAGGCTGTTCTCAGTGACAGGGTCCTAAGGGGAGGAGGCCAGGTGAAGAGAGAAAAGCTGTGGTCAGGCATAAACTATGTCTTATGCCAAGCATAGTCCTGGTTTTAGAGAAGGGAAAGCCTTGGATTGATCTAGTTAGTCCTCAACACTAGGGCATGGTGGATAACACCTTCAATCCCCACACTCAGAAGGCAGAGGCAAACGAATCTCTGTGAGCTCAAGGCCATCGAGGACTATACAGTGAGACCCCACCAGGACTACACAGCAATATCCTGTCTCAAAAATCCAAACCAAATACAAAAGCCATGGTCATATCATTGTTCAGGGCAGCTCTTCTACCTCAGTCTCTCACCCCTGAAAATGCAGGCCTGCTCCAAGTTCACCTCTGCCCACTCCTGAACTCAACTATGAAGTTAGTCTCTAGCTGAAGTGCTCTTCAACCAGAGACACTGAGAACAGGAGCCTTGACTTGGCAGTCTCACGTCTCACTTCTAAGCCAGCGTTGCTTACAGCAAGGCCAAATACAGCCAGGTAGGAAAGCCAAGTGGAGATAAAGGGAGAGAGAAGGGTGGAGTGGAGAGAGATGGCGAGCCAGCCTCCAGAGGACAGGTAAAACCACAAAGCCACATGGCAAAATTTAGATTAGTAGAAGTGGGTTAACTTAAGTTGTAAGAGCTGGTTAGTAATAAGCCTGAGCAATGCACAACACATTGTGTAATTAATGTAAGTTTCTGTGTGTTTGTCTGAAACTGGGAGGTCAGGACAAAAGCAAAGCTCCACCTTCGTTTACACAGCACCATTTCAGTGGATATCAGCAGCCAGGTTCACTAGGGCTGGGCTGACAGTTGGTGTGGCTGCCTCTGGGCTGACTGGGGACTATTGGGGGGGGCCTCATCACTGGCTGTGCCAGGAGCTCTTCTCTGAAGAAGCAGCTCTTCCCCTGTGTAATTCTGGGTGTTGTCTACTCAGAGGCCTAGGGGCTCTTCTGCCCAAAGGTGCCTTTCTCATCCTCTTCGCCATGTGAAGCAACCGTCTCAACCCTACCTGACAAGGCCCCTCCTCCCAGGTCTCCCCTACCTCTTCCTGTACTGTCCCAGGAAGTCTGGGAAAGTGACTGGCACAGGGTTGACAGAGAGAAAGAAGACAAACACTGTATTAAGACAAAAAAGGCAAGACATTCTAAAAATGCAATTAATTTTTAAAAGCAGACTTCTTGATAAAGATGTAATACAACATAAAAACAAGCCCAATACAAAACTGTACATCTGATCATACATCTGATCACAATGTGGCCATTCCCATTTGAAATCAAATATATAAATAAAGTAATCAATATGTTAAGCCTATTTGAATAGAAGCTGGGTATGTCAGGCAGAAGGAAATAAATGAGAACCAAGGATGATACAGCGGGGAGAGATCAGGCCGGGCGGGGCAGGGCGGGGCAGGGCTGGGCTGGGAGCCTTGGGTTCCTACTCACCGTTCTGCCACCTCTTCAGCCTGCGGATGTGGAGGTACTGAAGCCACGCCTTCAAAGACCTCTGCTTCTGCCAGCGCTGATGGTGTCGCACAGCAGTGGCCACTTTCCGTCTTTCCCGCTGGGTATTTAGGAGCTGTTCTTGCCATCGTGACCAAACCTGAAAAGACCAGGTCAGGAATTCAATGTCATTCTCAGCCACACAGTGAGTTTGAGCCTAGCCTGGGCTATGCGAGAACCTGCTTAAAACAAAATAAACTTTGGAGTGGGGGTTACAAATAAAAAGTAAATAAAAAGAAGTTGTAAAAAGTAGCGCTGGTGGCAAACACCTTTGATCCCAGCACTCAGGAGGCAGAGGCAGGTAGAGCTCTGTGAGTTCGAGGTCAGCCTGGTCTACTGAGCGAGTTGCAGGTCAGCCAGAGCTACACAGAGAAACCCTGTCTCAAAAAAACAAAAATAAATAACCAACCTGGGTTTTCGTTATTTTAATTTTGTTGTTTTTAATTATATAAATGGCATGTCTCTCGTGTGGGTATGTACATATGTGTGCAGGTATTTGAAAGCCAGGAGAGTTGGATCCTCTGGAGTTGTAGTTACAGATGGTTGTGAGCCACCTGATATGGGTGCTGGGAATTGAACTCTGGTCCAGGCCCCCTCCTCCCTTTTCCTGAATATTTGAAAAGAAATACATATGTATTTGTACAGTTGTTAAAACATGAAGGCAGGAGTATCAGGGCATGGTGGTTCATGCCTTTAATCCCAGCAATCAAGAGGCAGAATTGGGTGGATTTCTGTGAGTTAGAGGCCAGCCTGGTCTATGTCGTGAATTCCAGGGCAGCCAGGGCTACACAGTGAGACCCTATGCTGGACCACCCCAAGCTGGATGGTGTTTGTGCATGCCTTTAATCCTGGCACTGGGAAAGCAGAGACAAGATGATCTCTGTGAGCCTCCAAAAAAAGGAAATGAAGAATGGGTTAAACACTGTGAAGTGAATGTTACCCACCTTTTTTTCTGTGATTCAGTATTTGCAGACATAACCCCTAAAGCAAAGGCTCTCCCCTGAGCACACTATGCCACGCAGCTGACACTAGCTCGTTCCTTCCCGAGCTCCTCCAGACAGCTGTTTTGTAACTTCTCCCTAGCAGGCTTTCTTGAAAGCCTTCCATGTGCTCACGGAAACTGCTTATCAAGTCTATCACCATTTCCACGTAGTTCAGCCCAAAGGTCAGGTCTGTCCTCACCCTGCCTGACCCTGTCCTCACCCTGCCTGACCCGGCAGAATGGCATCTGACGTGGCAGGCAGAACCTTCTCTGCTGGATCCCTGCAGGTCCTCCCTGTCCCTGCTGCTGACTTCATGGAGCCTCTCCTGTCAACCCACTCACTCACGTCACCATTCACTAGTTACTCAGCTTCAAATTCCATCCTACAAGGACTCCCAATGGTAGGGTCCTGCCTGGACCTTCCTCAGGATTTCAGATGCTACAGAAGCATCTGCACTCCTCTATGGAGACTCGGAGTGAAGTCAGGCTCAGCATTCCGGGGGAAGGGCACAGCTCCCCCAACCCTTCCCCACAGGCTGCTTCCCCCTCAGGGGTCCCATGTCAGTAAAGGGCAACTCCACTGTTGCAGCTGCTCAGCCAAAGCCACGAGGTGCCACAGAATTCCTTTTCTGAATCATATGTAATCTCTCCATGAGGAAATCCTATTTGTCACTTTCACAACAACCAGAATCTCAGCTGGGAAGGTGGCTCAGTGGCTTCGAGAGCTGCCTGCTCTTTCAGAAGACTCAGGTTTGATTCCCAGGACCCACATGGCAGCTCACAACCATCTGTAACTCCAGTTCCACGTGATTCAGTGCCCTCTTCTGCCCTCCATGGACATGAGGCACACACATGGTGCACATACATACATACATGCAGGAAAAAACCTTATACATGTAAAATGAAATAAATCATGAACACACACAGAACACACACTTCAACTACCTTCTTGTCAAAAACTCACTTGGTATTTTCTTTTCTTTTTTTTTTTTTGGTTTTGTTTTTCTTTTTCAAGATAGGATTTTTCTGTGTAGCCCTGGCTGTCCTAGAACTTGCTATGCAGACCAGGCTGGCCTTGAACTCACAGAGAGCCATCTGCCTCTGCGTCAGTGCTGGGATTTATGTGTATGCGTGTGTGTCTGTGTGCAGGTATATGCATCTGAGTCCAGATACCTGAGGGAGCCAGGAGATATCAGATCTCTTGGAGCTGGAGTTATAGGTAATTATGAGTTGCCTAATGTGGGTTCTGGGAACCAAACTCAGGCCCTCTGCAAGAGAGTATGTGCTCTAACCATTAAATCATCTTTTCAGTTTGCAAGGCAGTTGATTCCACTGTGTGTGTGTGTGTGTATGCCAAGTGTGCCCAGGTAACCTCAGAGGCCATTTGTTATTGACATATAGTCACCCACCGAGTGCTGAGTTTAAGTCAGTGATCATGGTTCTAGCAATTAGAAGGTAGAGGCAAGAGGATTAGAAGATCAAGATCATTCTCCACTACATAGCAAGTTCATGGCAAACCTAGACAACATGAGACCCTGATTCAAAATCTAAAATTCCAAACACCCTATGAGGATAAAAGCAGAAGGATTTTCTTTGTCGTGTTGGTTTCTACCTGTACTATCTTTTCATTTGCTGTAGAAAAACAATAATGAGGAGATATGAACATGTTTTAAGCAGTTTCTAACCAAGTTGGTGAAGTCGGCTCTGCACAGAGGGCTTGTGGAGAGCAGGCACATCTTCCTAACAGCAGCACCCATCTGCCACAGCCTGGCCCACTGCACTGCTCTCCCACCCCATCTCCCCAGACGCCAAGGAGCAGCAGTGAAAAGCCCTCCTGTTGACCACACAGCTCTAGGGCACCAAACCCTGGATATGTACTCGACAAACCTGCATCTGGAGGCTCAGGGCCCTATGCTTCACAGCCGCTGCGTGGAGAGCGTGGCCCGCATGGGCTTGTCCTAGTCGCCACCTCCACTTGCTCCACCAGGAACTGAAAGAGAAAATCAAAGATGGAGTCAGCTGGGGTAGCGGGGACATAAAAGGGAAGGACCTAGCGCTGTGCTTCTGAACTTTAACCCAGGCCTCTCTCCCTCACAGTGCCATCTCTAAACTGACATCTGTAGACCCGCTACTGCAAGGAAACACAAAGCCCAGAGCAGTCCAGGGGCTGAAGACATGGCGTGTAATGTACTTGCCACCAAGTCTGACAACCTGAGTTCAATCCCTGGGACCCCATGGTGGAAGGAGACAACTCACTCTCACAAGTTGTCTGTGGCCTCCACATGCATCCTCTCTCTCTCATACTAAATAAAATGTGATTTTAAAGTGTTTAAGGGACATAAGACTGTCAGATCCAGTCTTAAGCACTATAAATTATCATCCACTCGTTTGTTTGCAGTACTGGCATGCCAGGCAAGCTCTCTACCCTTCAGCACACAGACATGCTCTGTGCTCTGGCCTACACAATTTAGTTTTCAAACACAGAAGTCATCCACATTTAAAATTCAGCTTTCATGAGAAAATCTGAAGGGGAAAAAAGTGGCTTTCAGGTTTCTAATCTTGCAGGGTGTCTCCTTCCTTCCCTCCTACTGTAGCCACATCTTCATCTTAGCCAGAGTCTCTTTCCTCTCTTCTTCCTCCTCTTCCTTTAAGCTTGTTCGGAACAGAGTTTCTCCGTGGAGTCTTGGCTGTCCTGAAACTCGTGCTGTAGACTAGACTGCCTCAAACACAGAGACCCGTCTGCCTCTGCCTCCTGAGTGCTGGGATTAAAGGTGTGCGCCACCAGGTCAGGCTACCTACCTAATCATTTCTTAAGGCCAAGGAGATGGCTCTGATGGTGAAGCACTTGCTGTACGATCCTGAGAACCTGAGTTTGGATGCCAGCAACCACATAAAACCCAGGCTCAGTGACAACATCTGTACTCTCCATGCTACAGGGACAGAGTCAAGACGGTTCCCTGGAAGCTCAGTGGTTGGCCAACCAACTTAGCTGAACTGGTGAGTTCCAGGTTCACTGAGAGATCCTGTCTTAAGTAAGGTAGAGCCTGGCATGGTGATGAACTTGGGAGGCAGAGGCAGGAGGACTTTTATGAATTTGAGGCTAGTCAGGCCTATATAGTAAGACCCTATCAAAAACAAAAGAACAAAAAAGGCAGTGGTGACACTGTCTATGATCCCAGCACTTGGGAGGCAGAGGAAGGCAGATCTCTGAACTCAAGACCAGCCTGATCTATAACGCAAGTCCCAGGACAGCCAAGAATACACAGAGAAACCCTATCTGGGGAAAAAATAAAAATAAACGACAACAAAAAAGGTAGAAAGTTGAGAAAGAAACCAAGCTTTGTACACACGTACAATCATACTTTCACCCCTATGCACATACCTCATACACACACACACACACACACACACACACACACACACACACACACACACTAAATGAAAGTTCTTTCTGTCCACAGATGTCCTGGACACTGCAAACTGCTAACTACTTCACAGATATTATTTTATCTATTCCCAGTAACAACCTAGAAAGATAATTAATGGTAAACCCATTTCATGGAGAGCTGAAATGACCCAATGACTCATGTTGGGACAGGGATTTGGACCCACATCAGTATGGCTGTAACACTAACAGGCTGTATTCCATGCTCATCTCTCCTGAGCTTTAACAATACTGCTATTCAGAACCCAGAGGACCCCAGGGGCAAAGCACAGTTGTGCAGCAGCTTCGTTACGCATGTAGAGGGGTCCAAAGCAGACTGTCCCGTATGTGCAGTGCTGAGGCGTAGGGTAGAGCAGTGGCTGTAGCAGAGGCTGAGCCCTTTTTTCCCAGTGGTAAGTTACAAGAATTCAGACAAGTCCTTTGACTTTCCCAAGCCTTACAGTACATGATGATGTATGCACTAATGTACATACATTGCATGCCAAGCAGTATTATACTTTACAACACATACACGGCCCCACCTAGTGGTACAGACCTGTAACCCCAACTATTTGGCCAAGTCACAAGGGTCAAAGGCTCAGCTTGGGCTACAGGGGGAATTTCAAAGCCAGACTACTCAAAAAGTAAATGGTGTGACTCAGTGGAGGAGTATTTGTCAACCATGTGACAGATCCTAAGCTGGCTCCCTTGTACCACCCTGTCCTAGTTAGGATGTCTGTTGCTGTGATGAAACGCCATGACAAGCAACTTGGCTTATATTTTCATATCACTGTTCATCTTTGAAGGAGGTCAGAACAGAAACTCAAACATGGCAGGAACCTGATGCAGAGGCCATGGAGGAGTGCTGCTTACTGGCTTGCTCAGCCTACTTTTCTTTTTTTTTTTGGGGGGGGGTACAAGACAGGGTTTCTCTGTGTAGCTTTGGAGCCTGTCCTGGCACTCGTTCTGTAGCGCAGGCTGGCCTCAAACTCAGAGAGATCCGCCTGCCTCTGCCATCCAAGTGCTGGGATTAAAGGCGTGCGCCACCACTGCCCAGCTCAGCCTGCTTTTTTTTATAGAACCCAGAACCACCAGCCCAGGGATGGCACCGCCCACCATGGGCTGGGTCCACATCAATCACTAAGTTCCTGCCTGCAGCCCAATCTTACAGAGGCATTTTCTAACTGAGGTTTCCTCCTTTCAGATAACTCTACCTTGTGCCAAGCTGACATAAAACTAGCCAGTTCATATCCCTACCACCGAACATTCTATACACAAAGTTAACAGGCTTAGGACATTGTAAGTTCGTCATTAGAATTAATCCTGGTTATATAAACACTCAATGTTATAGCTGGATGTTACCACAGGGTATTTATAGGTGTCAACTGTGTTCTAGGTGAGATAGATGAATTGAAGCCTCATCCCAGTGCTGAGATAAAAACATGGCTACTGACCTGTGGTGCCCCACACACTCACCATAAGACACTCCGTCGCCTAAATTCTAGAGCAGTGTTCTGCATGTGACATTTGGTCCTACGAGCAACCATGTATATCAACCAGGACTTCCAGGCTTGGCGCATCTTCCGCTTTGTATCTAGAGACATCAAAGAGAGATCTTTTTTTAAAGGGCAGAAACTGGGCTGGAGACATGGCTCAGCAGTGAAGAGCATCTCCTGCTCTTTCATGAGTCTAGTCCAGTTCCCAGCACCCACAACAGGCAGCTCAGTGCCCTGTGATTCCAGTTCCAGGATGGACTGCAGGGGGTCTGATGCCTTTCTTCCGGCCTCTGCAGGCACCTGCGTATTCCTATACACTGACATACACACATAAACATAGTTAAAAATAAAACCAGAAAAAATGAAAAGGACCCTGTCTCAAAAAAAAAAAAAAAAAAAAAAAAAAAAAAAAGCAAATAAACAACAACAAAAGACTGGTAGAGAGGCCAGTGAGGTGACTCGGTGACTAAGGGTACTTGCTGCCAGGTCAGGTGGCCTGAGTTTTACCCCTGGAACTCACTCACAAGAGGACGGCTGACTCCTGCAGGCCGTCTCCCGACCTCACGAGCACCAGGGTATATAGAAGCCCCAATATTCAAACAAACAAACAAACGTAAGAAAACAAGTAAAGGTAGAGGGGGTTATATTACTTCAGGTTGTGATACCAGCTCAAGGACTTCTTGTACTTAGTGGAAATGCCCACAGCTCTTCTCAAGCCCCCACGTGCGCCCTCTGCTGGACACACTGTGTAGTGTTACAAATTAAAAGATTCAAGACTGCACAGGTGACAGGTTGTGGCAGTTACAAGCATTTAAAGGAGAACTTGAGTGTGTCAGGCAGGTACACTGCCAGCTGTGCTGCACCTGGGCCCTCCCACCACCCTTGGGTGTCTGTGTGTGTGTGTGTGTGTGTTGGTGTTTGTGTTTTGTTTTGTGACAGGGTTTCTCTGTGTAAATAATCCTAACCATTCTGAAACTCACTCTATAGATAAGGCTGTGGCATCCAACTCACAGAGCTCTGCCTGTCCCTGCCTCCCCAGAAATAGGATTAAACGTGTACACCACCACTGAAAACTTTTTGCTTTGTTTTTGGAGACCAGGTCACTATGTTACCTGCCTGATTTGGAACGTCCTCTGTAGACTCAGCTAACCTCAAACTCACAGTTCACTTGTCTCGAGTGCTGGAATTAAAGATGCACACTATCACATCTGGCCTTATTTTTTAAGATTGAGATTCTCAAGCTGGGCATTGGTGGTGCACGCCTTTAGTCCCAGCACTCGGAAGGGAGAGGCATGTGGATCTCTGTGAGTTCGAGGTCAGCCTGGAGTTCCAGGATGGGCTCCAAAGCAAAGCAATATAGACAAACCCTAACTAATACAAAGGCACACACACACACACATATATATTTACATATACATATATATGTGTGTGTGTGCGTGCACATATGGACTATATATACATTAATAGTGACAACAGGAAAAGATAATCAACATCATTAATCTTAGAGAAATGCAAACACTAAAATGAGACAGCTGAACTATTTATATAGATAATCCAGATAACTATTTGTAGAGTTAAATTATTATTATTATTTTGTAGGAGATTTTTTTTTTTTTTTTTTTTTTTTTTTTTTTGAGGCAGATCACACTCCAAGAACAAGAAAGGAAGTCAAGTGTGCCTTCTCTCACCAGATGACTCCCTCTCCCAGAACTCCTCCTCACCATGATGCTCAGCTCTGCGGAGCCCCTTCCTCATCTCCTGTTGCTGGTGCACAAAGGCCTTCCAGTTGTGGAACATCAGGTTGTACAAGTAGTATCTGAGGAGCCAAAATGCAAACAGTGCTTATGGTAGGGCAATGAAGTAGCTCCACCCAGCACACCCTGTCTGTCACTTCTACACTTGGGAGCGTTCTAGAAGGGGAAAACCTGTAGTTGAAACAGAATTGATCAGCAGACATTAGGGTTGTTTGGAATGAGGGTGCTACCTAGGATTAGCACAGGGAAATCCTATGGGAATTAATAGGCTGTTAATAGCAGAACCATCTAATAGTTGGGGCTAGAAAGATGGCTCCGTGTTTAAGAACACTGGTTGCTTTTCCAGAGGACCTGGGTTAGGTTCCTAGCACCAACATGGCAGCTCACAACCACCTGTAACTGCAGTCCCAGGGACCAACATCCTCTCTGGCTTCTGCAGGCATTTCATGCACATGGTTCATAGACATACATGCAGGCAAAGCCCCCATACACAGAAAATAACAAAATGCCACCGTCCCTCCTCTCCACAGCACAATTAGTTCTCTTCCCCATTGTGTTCCAGAGTGTGAGTTTTGAGACTCTATCTCAAAACAAAGCAAAACAAACAAAGGATTTTGCTATTGCATTTATTGTGTGGAGGGGTGTGTGGTTCACATCGAGTGTGGAGGTCTGCGGACATTGTGCAGGAAGGAGCTGGCTCTCTCTATGTGGGTTCTGCATAGCCAACTCCAGTTACCAGGTGGCAGCAAGTGCCTTTACCTGCTGTGTTATAGCACCTGCCCTAAAAATAGGCATTTGGTATAATTTTGAACTTTTTCCTCTATTTACTCCTTGCCACGTGAGTAGCAATGATTACAAGATTATTCTTTCATATTTCTTCTGTTTTTTAATTGTGTTTTGGTGCCAGGGATGAAACCCAGGACATTATACAAGCAAACCGCTTGCTCCCCCACTCAGATACCTGACCCAGATGCTCTTTTCTGAATGTCCTATGTGGGACTCCTCCTTTCTGGATCATAATCAGTATGCTAGGACTACTTTTCTTGTTGTTTTTCAAGACAGGGTTTCTTTGTGTAGCCTTGGCTGTCCTAGTCCTAGCTCTGTAGACCAGGCTATCTTCTAACTCGGAGATCTGCCTGCATCTACTCCAGGGTTCTGGGATTAATAGTATGTGCCACAACTGCCTGGTTTAGGACTAACTATTAAAAAAAAAAAAAGCAAAAAACAAACAAACAAACAAAAAACCCTCACATTTAGAAATACATGGAAGTGAGTAAACCTTCCAAGTTTCCACATGGCCAACATGGCTATCTGACTCAGAGGAGCACACGTGTGTGTGCACACAAATAAGTATGGATTTACTTATTCCCAAAAGGATTTCTAAAACCTAGAAAGCAATCCAAACTTTGCTTCTTTGGAACACAAACAAGACATTGAGTAATTGATACAGTGTAAAGTCTATTTCCACAAGTGTAAAGTAATGAGACACCTGTAGTGACAGTCAGCTCGAACGCAGAGTTTCCATTCCCTTTGGGAGACCCACCATTCTTCCCTCCATTCTCCAAAGACCTTCCGTAGTATTCTCTGCTCATGGAAAAACCTAGGCAGAAGGGAGGACATCAGAAAGCTGGTGTGGGGCGGCTGGGCTGATGTCTCTGCCAGGTCAGCTTCACACCGCCCGTACGTTCTCAGTTCAAACACCAAAGTAGAAAGCGGCGGCACACTGACTGTCACACCACACCTTCAGTGCTACATACACACTAGGAACAACACAATTACACCAAGGAGTTCAGCAGTTACGGATAGCAAAGGAAAGCTGAAATCTTCATCGGATGAGGGAAGCAATGGATAAAGCCACATAGCCGCAGGAGAAGCCCAAGGACTTGAGCTTGATTTCTGGACCATGAAAAGGTAGAGGAAACTGATGCCACAAAGCGGCCCTCTGACACCCACACACCAAACACAATAATAAAACTTTAAAACCATTACAACTTTCAGCATTTTTGAAAATTTTAGATTAAATAAGAAACTTTTTATTCCCTCTTAACTGTGGATAAGGAAAGGTGCTGGAGTCTAGGCTCCAGAGACTGAGCTCGAGTAAGCAGTTTTTGTTTTGTTTTGTTTTGTCTTGTTTTTGAGACAGGGTCTCCATACAGCCCTGGCTGGCCTCAAACTCAGAGAGAGCCTCCTGCCTCTGCTTCCCGAGAGCTGGGAGTAAAGAAGTTACTGCTTCTTGTGCTTTCTCTTGGTCTCTTTTGTTTCTGTTTGTTTGTTTTGTCCAAGTCTGCTGTGTTTGTTTTCTTTTATCTTATTATATTTTATAATAAAACAATAAAATCCCTTAGAAACCTGTTTGTTAACCTTGGAGGTGCATGCATTTAATTCCAGCAGAGGTGGATCTCTGAGTTCCAGGATAGTCTGGCTACACAGAGAAACCCTGTCTCAAAAACCCAATTAAAAAGAAAAGAAAAGAAAAAGCCTGTTCTAGTGAGAGACAGAAATAGAATGGATGCAGGTGGGAGACAGGAGGGGAGGAACTGGGAGGGGTAGAGGGAGAAGAAACCATAATTATGATATATTTTGTCAGCCTAGTCTACTTAGTGAGCTCTAGGCCAGCTAGAAATACAAAGTGAGACCCTGTCTTAAATATACACACGCGCACTCTCGCGCGCGCGTAAACATATAGAGAGATTATGATGACAATGATGATGACGAAAGGGGAGAAGAGATAGAATTATATTTTAATTGAAAATGTTTTAAATAAAATAAATACCAGAAACAGAAGGAGCCCAGCAGCAGCTCCGTGCTCTGAGCTAACAATACCTGGCTCTAGAGGGAGTTACTCTTCCAAATGTCACTCGAATCCACAAATACAAGAACTTTCTGGCCACACATCTGAAAGAAGAGAATGATACATACATACATTTGAAAACTCTACCTGGATAACAGGAGTTTTCTGGGAGAGGGAACCTTTAAGGTGTCAAGTGGAGGGACCACAGTCACAGCTAATCTTGGATCAAACAGAAAATGGAGAGAGCAGGTTTATAAAACAAAAATCAACAAGGTGGTGGCATAAACCTTTAATCCCAGCACTCAGGAGGCAGAGGCAGGCTGATCTCTGTGAGTTCAAGGCCAGCCTGGTTTCCAGAGTGAGTTCTAGAACAGCCAGGACTACACAGAGAAACCCTGTCTTGAAAAACAAAACAAAACATAAAACTACTATAAAGCAGATTGTTGTTAAACATGATCTTTCTTATTTCAGGGTTTTGCTGACTGGCCTAGAACTCCCAGAAATCCACCTATCTCTGCCTCCTGAGTGCTAGGATTAAAAGCACGTGCAACCATACCACTCAAGGTCGTATTTTTTTATTTCATAAGTCCAGTAAACAAAATGTATAACTAAGTATAATGAGACATTCACCTCACCTGGGTGTGGTCACTGTGGGCGGACCTGAAAGTGGTTTGAGGTCTGGGGTCAGGGCACAGGTGGTGCTCTCTTGCTTCTGGTCGGGTCACAGAGAGCAGCCTCTGTGAGAACAGGGTGTGGATCCCTGGAGCGGGAACTTGCAGCGGTCATCTGTTTCTTGTGTAAGTGATTTCTCCCCGAATAAAATTATAATAACCTATACTGAACCTGGTCCCGTGAATCTTGACCCATGTGTCAATAAATAAGGAACTTATACAGTGGAGTTATCTCCCATCAGTCCAGATGTGTGTGTGTATGTGTCTGTGTGTGTATACGTGTGGTACCCAGGGCCTCTCACAGTTTAAGCAGGTACTCTACCACTAACTTGCAAACCCAGCCATTTTATAATTATTTCTTTAAAGATAGACATTGCTGTAATAAAACTCAGAGGATGTACATTTCAAAGGTTGCAGGAAGTTGAGTCCTACATAGTTTAACATGTTTCAAGATTACCTGAAGGACTTTTTCTGTGCCCAAACTATGGGAGCTTAGAGCCAGCAACAGCAGAACTCAACATGAAAGCATAAAAACATTATTATTATTATTATTATTTTGGTTTTTCGAGACAGGGTTTCTCTGTGTAGCTTTGGAGCCTGTCCTGGAACTTGCTCTGTAGACCAGGCTGGACTCTTAACTCACAGAGATCTGCCTGTCTCTGCCTTTCAAGTGCTAGGACTAAAGGTGTGTAACCCTGGCAAACATTTTTTTTTTTTAATCCCATAAAATTGTTTTCTTTTTATTCTGTGGACAAAGAGATCACATGCCCTGTTTTCCTTTATCAGTTTTAGGAAACTCAGAAGGATAATGTTTTTTGACAGATGCCACTTATAGTCCAGACTGGCTTTGACCTGCCATCTTCTTGATTTATCCTGCCATATGGCTGGCTGGGATCACAGGCCTGTATCACCATACCTGACTCACTTTAAATAAGACGGCATGAAACACCTTTCAATACAAAGTATTTTGACAATGAAGAGATGGAGACATCAGATTTGAGAATCATTCTTTTGTCATTTTTCTTCCTGTTGAAAATCCCTGGCAAAGATCCATGTATCCTGGCCTCTTCCAAACACCGAGAGAGGGGTGGGGCACTCAGTGCTCTCTCCTGAAACCCCTGAGCAGTGGTGTGCCACTGTAACAGTCATCAGCTCACAGGATGTCTGACAGTCCCTTGTGACTGAGCTGAAAGCGGGGACCATCCTTGTAGTCCCAGCCCCTAGCACAGTGTGTGGAATAAATGCTCATGCACGAGTGTGCACATATACACACACACATATACACTCGCACACACACCACACCACACACACACATATATACACTCACACACCACACACACATATACACTCACACACCACACACATATACACTCACACACCACACACACACACACACACCACACACACACACACACACACACACACACCACACAGACACACACCACACCACACACACACACCACACACACCACACACACACCACACACACACACCACAGACACACACCACACCACACACACACAGACACAACACACCACACACACCACACACACACACACCACACACACACACACACACACACACATATACACTCACATATACACTCATACACCACACACACACCACCCACACCACACACACACACACACACAACACCTCACACACACACACACCACACACACCACACACACACACCACACACACCACACACACACACACACACACACACACACACTCTCTCATTCTTCTTATCAATCTCTGCTTGAAACCCTCTTCTTCCTACCTTCCTTCTGACTTAGTCTTACGTCACCCTTCAGGGCTGGGCTGACCTAATTGTATGTTACAACTGGAGACCATAAATAAATGAAAACTGCAGTTTCCTAAATATTCTTCTTCTTTTGTTTGAAAGACAAAGTCTGGTTGGCCAGGAGCTCTCTACGTAGACCAGGCCACTCTCAAACTCATAGAAATCCATCTGCCTCTGCTTCCTGAGTGCTTGCATTAAAGAAAAGCACCATCAAACCTGGCCCTAAATATTCTTCTTTTCTGAATATTCCACTCAGAAGAGTTCTCCAACTAACTGGCATAGGAAAAATAAGAATTAGTCCTTCTATTTGGGCAAGAAAGAAAAACAAATGAAACGTCTCACCTGCTGCGCAGTTCTCTTAATCGGTATCGAGCCCAATTGTGTGAGGCAGGAGAGCTTCGCGGTAACTCCCTCTGGACCCCAGAGAGGGCAGACGACTTGTTGAGAGGCAGTGCCTTAGGGGAACAAGGTTTCTTAACCACACCATCCCTAAAAGACCTTAAATTTGAGCAGAAAGGAAAGGAGAGAGAAAAAGTCTCTTCATACAGTATACATACATTTTCACACTCAACCAAGCTCTGCTGTTAAGCTCATGCAGACTGACGCTGACTATGCCAGCAACCAGCACCGCTGGGTCAGCACTCAGTGGAGACTGCAGAGCAACAGGCAGGGTCATTAGGCCTGGCATGTTCTTTCATTAGTTTTTATTATATTTTAGAGGGAATCATTTACAAACTAGAAACAAATTCCTAAGTACAAACTACAATCGAGGGCCTGGGATTTTGGCTTAGAGATGAACTTCACAAAGTCCCAGGTTCTATCTTAAGGAAAAGCCTAGAGTAATGGCCGGGTGACGAGGGGCACTGCTGTTCTTCTAGAGGACCTGGGTTAGAGTCCCAGCACCCACATGGGTCCCCACCTGACTGTTCACTCTAGTTTGAGGCGATCTGACATTTCTGCCCTCCAACAGCACCAGGCATGTACTGATGAACATACAAACACGCAGACAAACACCCAGAGCATAAATTTTATCAGGGTGGTGGTGGTGGCACACACCTTTAATCCCAGCACTCAGTAGACAGAGGCAGACAGATCTCTAAGTTCAAAGCCAGCCTAGTCTACATGGTAAGTTCCAGGACAGCCAGGGCTACAGAGACACTGTGTCTTTAAAAAAAAAAAAAAAAATCAAAAAGATAAATAAATGTGCTTGCTGATATTATGAGGACCAGAGTTCAGGTCCCAGCACCCACATTCAGTGGCTCACACACCCCTATAACTCTAATTCCAAAGGATCCAATGCCTTCTGACCTCTGCAAACACTAAGAGCATGATCACACCCATGTACACACACACATAGTAAAATACTCAGAGAAAATAAAATTTTAATTTTAGCTACTTAAACAAGAAAATCTTTTCGTTGTTTTTTGAGACAAGGTCTCTTATGGCCCAGACTGGCCTTGAACCCCTGAGGCCCCTGCTTCTACTTCCTAAGTGCTGGGATGACAAGCATACACCACCACACCTAGCTCAAAGTCTTAAAAAGAGCAATTAAAATTTTTTTCAGATAACATGACTCTGATATCAACATGAAACCTCATATTTTTACTTATTTACTTATTGCCTTTTCTAGACAGGTTTCTATGTGTAGCCCTGGCTGTCCTGAAACTCACTCTGTAGACCAGGCTGGGCTTGAACCCAGAGATCTGCCTGCCTCTGCCTCCTTTCCCGAGGGCTGGGATTAAAGGCGTGTGCCACCACCACACGCTAAAATGTCATACCTTTTACCAAACATTGCATTTCCACTTTAGCCAGGTGTGGGTGGCACGTGCCTAGGTTCGGTAACTTCAGCTATCATTTTTGCTCTGTTCTATCACATACCTGGAGTGAATCTTCTCCATTCTCTGCTGAACCTGTTTGATGGAAATTCAACCACTGGTTGATATGTTTTTCTGTGACTAGATAACTGATGAACCAAAGCCTTTTATCTTCCCCTTATAACTGCAAGAAAGAGATAGGAGAGAGTAAGTTGCTTGCACACTCCCAGGGGTCACACTTCTAAATACCTGCCTTCATGCTCTGAGTTCCCTGCCCCTCTGCTTCTTCATTCAATACTAACTTAGCATGGAAAGGCTCTTACTCTCCTGGTTAAGATTGTTAGCGCTGTGATGAAACAGCATAACCACAGCAAGTTGGGGAGGAAAGGGTTTATTTGGCTTACACTTCCTTACCATAGTTCACCACTGGAGGAAGTCGGGACAGGAACTCAAACAGGACAGAGCATGGAGACATGAGCTGATTCGGAGGCCACGGAGGAGTGCTGTTTAATGGCATGCTCATAACTGTTTGCTCAGTCTGCTTTCTATAGAACCCAGGACCACCAGGACAGGATGGCATCACCCACAATGGGCTAGGCCTCCCTGACCAGAATCTAGTTATGAAAATGTCCTATAGCTAGGCAGTGGTGGCACATGCCTTTAATCCCAGCACTCAGGAAGCAGAGGCAGATGGATCTCTGTGAGTTTGAGGCCAGCCTGGACTACAGAGTTCCATGTTACACAGAGAAACCCTGTCTCAAAAATACAAAAAAAAAATAAAAATAAAAATAAAAAAAAAGAAAGAAAATGCCATATAGATGGATTTTTTTGTTTGGTTTTGTTTTTTGAAACAGGGTTTCTCTGTGTTGCTTTGGAACCTGTCCTGGAGCTAGCTCTGTAGATAAGGCTGGCCTTGAATTCACAGAGATCTATGCCTGCCTCTGCCTCCCCAGTGCTGGAATTAAGGCATGTGCCACCAACGCCCGGCTATAGATGGATCTTATGGAGGCATTTTTTTCAACTGAGGTTCCCTTCATTCAGATAACTCTAGCTTATATCAGCTGATATAAATATAGCCAAGACACTTATTCTTTCTAATCTGTATTATTAAAAAGTTAATTCTAGGGGCTGGAGAGATGATTCAGTGGTTAAGAGCACTGGCTGCTCTTCCAGAAGTTCTGAGTTCAAGTCTCAGCAACCACATGGTGGCTCACAGCCATCTATAGTGGGATTTGATGCTTTCTTCTGGCATAAAGGTATACATGCAGATAGACCACTCATACATAAAAAAATAAATAAAATCTTCCCCTCCCCCAAGACAGGGTTTCTCTGTATTGCTCTGGAGCCTGTCCTGGAACTAGCTCTGTAGACCAGGCTGGACTTAACTCACAGAGATCTACCTGCTTCTGCCTCCCAAATGCTAGGACTGAAGGCATGCACCATGGATGCCTGGCAATAAATAAAATCTTAAAAAAAAAAAAAAAAGTTACTTCTAAGCCAGACTGTAGTGTCTCATGCCTTTAATCCCAGCACTTGGGAGACAGAGGCAGATGGATCTCTGTGAGTTTGAGGCTGAGGCCAGCCTGGTCTACAAGAGCTAGTTCCAGGACAGGCTCCAAAGCCAAAAAAAAAAAAAAAAAAAAAAAAAAAAAGGACAGTTGTCCCCTACACTTGCTATTCTTACAGTGAACCTGGGTTTGGGTCCCACCACCCACATGGTAGCTATCATTTGTAACTCCCATTTTCAGGGGATTTGATATCCTATTCTGCCTTCAGAGAGCACCAGAAACACACATATACACAGTTATACATACATACAGGCAAACTGCTCCTACACATATAAAAGAAAATATAAAGAAAACAAAGAAAGATGTCCTCTAACCTTCACACAAATACACAGAAGGACACACAGAGACAAACACATACACACAATAATGAAACAAAAATCTACCCCCACAAGTATTTACAATTCATTTTTGGTAGTGGTTAAGTGCATAAATATGTTTGATAATAAAAGCGACACAGCTTCTTTCCAAATGGCTGCTCTAAATGTTTAGAAGTGTACTGTCTTTGGGGCTGGTTAATTTTGGTGTAATGTTTTTCAAATTCCTTTTCTGACAGTAAAGTTTTTACTGTTGTTTTCTGAAACAGGGTCTCACTATGTAGTCCTGACTGGCCTGGAACTGGCTATGTAGACCAGGCTGGCCTCAAACCCACACAGATGCGCCTGCTTCTGCCTCCTGAATGCTTGATTAATAGCATGCGTCATCACACTTGGTCATAATATACTTTAGTTAAAAAAAAGAAGCAGGATATAACAGGCTCATTCTTCCAGCCCCAACAATGTTGCATTGTCTTTAATTTTCCTTCACAATTATATCAGCAGCAGAGTAGTCTTCCCTCAGATTAATTTTTCAATTGTCAATGTTAGTATAAGAATCTTCATGCAGTTTTAAACATCTTTTAAAATTTTTTAAAATTACATTTATTGGGTCTAGAGAGATGGCTCAGTAGTTAAGAACCCTAGTTGGTCTTCCAGAGGTCCTGAGTTCAATTCCCAGCAACCACATGATGGCTCACAACTATTTGTAATTAGATGTGGTGCCCTTTTCTGCAGGGGTACAGGCAGACAGAACACTGTATACATAATAAATGAATAATTTTTTTAATTAAATGTATTTACTTATTAATTTGTTTGTGCCTAGAGGCTAGGGAACACCAAGTATTTCTGGCAATTCCAAAAGCTAAGAGAAAGGTATATATCTTCCCTAAACCATCAGAGAGAGGATGACCTTTAACTTCATATTTCTGAACTCCAGAACTAAGAGGGAATAAGCGTGTTATTGTTTGAAGCTACCAACTTAGAGGCAGATGATTACAAAGCCATAGGAAACAAATACAAGCAATAAGAAAGAGGTAAGACAGTAACACACAATGGAGCCAAGTTAATGGGTAAATGTGACTTGCATTGAATGATTGTGACGCACAATACTCCAGAAACATAAAGTCATAATCACAATTAAGGCCATAATGAAAACAAGTAACAAGTGATATTATCCATGTCAGGTTAATTTTTTACTGATATCAAATCTACATTTAGGGCTGGAGATGATTTTTATAGTGCTTTTTTTCCATGAAAAGAACTCTAGATTCTCATCAGCAGTGAATAAAACTGAACATGGTACCACACACCTCTAACCCTAGAGACAGGGGGAAGTCTTCAGGCTTTGCTCTTGTAGACCAGGCTGGTCCTGAACTCACAGAGATCCACCTGCCTCTGCCTCCCAAGTGCTGGAATTAAAGGTGTGTGCCACCAACACCCGGCCCTCTTTTCTTAAGATTTATTTATTCTTCAAGAACAAAACACAACAACAAAAACGGGTGGTTGTGGCACACACCTTTAATCCCAGCACTCGGGAGGCAGAGGCAGGTGGATCTCTGTGAGTTCAGGACCAGCCTGGTCTACAGAGCAAGTGCCACATGGTAAGATCCAAATAAATATTTATTCTGTGTATATTAGTGGAAGAGAGTGTCAGATCCCCTGGAACTGGAGTTACAGGCAGTTGTGAGCCACCATGTGCGTGCTAAGAACTGAACCTGACTCCTCTACTAGAAAAATAAGTGTTCTTAAGTGCTGGGCCCTCTTCCTAGCCCCCAAATCACGGCAAGTTTGAGGCCAACATGATCTGTGTAGCAAGACCCTGTCTCAAAACAAATAAGTGAAGATGTGTGGAACCTCACAGGTGAAATTAAAAAGTACTGGAAAGGCTAGGAGATAGGTTTATTCTCCACAAGGACATGAATTCGTTTCTAAGTTGAAATACACATAATGTTAATTACAAAGACAGTCCATAATAAAACTGGCTCTCAGTTGCACATGCAGACTGACCTCATGAGATGATAATAAAGGACAAACTGGTTCAGAAATTCCACTACTAGTCATACCCCAAAGAAAACTGAAACCATGTCTATACACAAGCTTATACAAGAATGTTCAGGGTCAAGCATGGTGATACACATCCCCAATAGTGGCATTTGGGAGGAAGAAGCAGGCAGATCTCTGAATTCAAGACCAGCTTGTGATTCTAGGACAGCCAGGGCTACATAGTGAGACCCTATATCAGAAAAAGGTTAAAAAAAAAAAAAAAAAAGCAAATGCAATACTACTATGACTAAATACAGATGAGTCTTAAGAACATACAGGGGGCTAGAGATGGCTCGGAGGTTAAGAACACTGGCTGTTCTTCCAGAGGTCCTGAGTTCCATTTCCAGCAACCACATGGTGGCTCACGATCCGGTGCCCTCTTCTGTCATGTAGGCAGAATAGTGTGTACATAGTAAATCTTTTTGTTTGTTTGTTCTCTGTATTGCTCTGGAGCCTGTCCTGGAACTAGCTCTATTGACCAGGCTGGCCTCAAATTCACAGAGACCTGCCTCTGCTTCCCAAATGCTGGGACTATAGGTATGCACCACCACCAACCAGCTAGTAAATAAATCTTAAAAAAAAAAAAAAAATCATACAGAATAAGCCAGTTACATATATGATTTTGTGTGTGTGTGGGGTGTGTGTGTGTGTTGAGATGGGTTCTATGTATCTTTGACTGTCCTGGAACTCACTATGTAGAGCAGGCGGCTGGCCTTTAGCCCACTTGAACCCACAGAGAACTTGCCTGCCTTTACAGTCTGAATGCTGCAATTAAAGGCATGTTCCACCATACCCCACTTAAATGATTTCATTTATATGAAATGTCCAGAAAAGCAAAACTTTATAGTCAGAGCACAATCTGGTAGTTGACCTAGGGCAAGGTTTCTTAACCATTTCCCATTTGGCCAATTTCACAAATATTTTTCTTCAAGATATGGTTTCTCTGTGTAGCCCGTGTGTAGCTCTGGCTGACCTGGAACTTGCTCTGTAGACTAAGCTGGTCTCGAATTCACAGAGATCCACTTGCCCTGATTCCCGAGTGCTGGGACTAATGGAGGGCACCACCAGCACCCTGCTGTATTCTAAATTTGTATCTTAATTATTTTTTATGTGTATGTATGTTTTGTCTGTGTACCACATATGTGTAGTGACTGGGGCACACAGGCTACAATTAAGATGACATGTATAGCTCAGGTTCCATACTTTCTCCCAGCACTTTCCATGAACGACCCACTTTAACACAGCCACCTCATCAGGTGCTTATTGCCATTTTCCAGGTGGATGCTCAAGGCCATGGGCTAACAGGTGGCACAGGCGCCAGTGGCGCTTAAGCCTCTATACACCTTCAGGAACTACACCAGAAGGTAATCCGTGGTACAAATGCAACGTGGGTTCAGCTCTCGTTTAGCCACTTGAGATCAGTGCACATAACGAGCCTCTCACTCAGGCACACCCCTGAATCGAATCTGGATCTAGGCAGGCCAATAAGCTTCGCGCAGGCGGAATCTCATCCTGAAGAGCTCTCCACCAGGGGAGGAGGATGCACACGCAGCGAGAGCGCAGCCGGGACACGGAGGACACACTCCGAACAACCTCACGCACGCTTTGCTTGCATTTCCGCGCACAGACCAAAGCCTTGTGGGTAGGCAGCATCTCCTGCACTTCTACAGGAAAAAGGGCCGTCACAGGGCCCAGCTGCTAGGCACCCGCACTCTGCCGGCTTTAAAGCAGGGCCGGCCATTCAAAGGTTGGGGGTGCTAGGTCTGGCCTCGTACCTGACGGAGCCGACTCCTCAGAGGACACCGGGAAGAGTTTGCAGCGAAGGCCTGCAGCCCGGGGTTCGCGCCCTGCGCCGGCTGCCCCGCCCCCATCTCCATGGCAACGCGGCCGGCACCGGAAGCTGCTCTGTCGTGTTTAGTGCGCGCTGCCTCCCGGGGAACAGAAGCCTCTGGCTTCTCTCTGAGCTCTGCTGACGAGCGTTCTTTTGGCCGGAAGTGTGGGAGCTTTTTGGATACGAGTCTCCAGTAACGCCTGCGCGGCGCGGCGTGGGACCCTCAGGTGTCTGACGTGCGCATGGTGGTGCACGTCGTAATCTCCGCGTCAGATCCGCCAATTAGTGCTGCATCTTTAAAGACATAGCTTTGAAAAAAGACTAAGGGATTTCATATTAGAACAAGGAAAAATATTTGGTGGATGTGTGAAGGTTAGGACCAAGGGGCGGGAGACATGACTCAACGGTTAAGAGCACTTTTAGCTCATCCAGATTCCCAGCGCGCACATGGTGGCTTATAAAAGGCAGAGGGCGGCGGTGGTTCTGCACATCTTTAATTCCACGGGAGGCAGATTCGGGAGAATCTCTGTGAGTTCGAGGCCAGCCTGGTCTACTGAGCGAGTTCCAGCACAGAGATACCCTGTCTCGAAAAACCTGAATAAATAAACAAAAGGCGTGCTCTCTTTTGACCTATATGCAGGCAAAACAACCAGACCTATTTAATGAGATCCATTACAGGCCGGACTAGAGTGAGACTATATGAATAACAAGCAAATAAGTAGTGTTTAAATACAGTTTTCTGAAGTGTCAAGATGGCTCAGCAGGTAAAGGCACCTGTCACTAAGCCACAGGACTTTAGCTCAATCCCCAGGACATCTACAGAGGGAAAGAACTCGCTCTCCAAAGTAGTCCTTTGACCTCTTGCCATAAACCATGCCCATACACACACACACACACACACACACACGCACACACGTAAATAAAAGCTAATAGGAACATAAACAAATATGGCCTGCTAGTGCATGCCTGTACTCCCTAGCTACTCAGGAAGCTGAGGCAGGAAAAATTACAAATTTTGAGACTACTGTCAGAAATTTGGATAGACCTTGTTCCAAAAATAAAACAGCCAGTCTAGGTGTGGCGGCAAATACCTTTAATCCCAATACTGAAGAAGCTGCAGGTGAGCATCGGTTCCAGGCTAGCCTGGTCTACATAGAGAATTGCAGGCAACCCAAAGCTACAAAGCAAGACCTGGTTTCAAAAGAGCCAACAAAGGGGCTGGAGAGATGGCTCCATGGTTAAGGACACTAATTATTCTTACAGAGGACTTATATTCAGTTCCTATCACCCACATGGCAGCTTACAACTGTCTAACTCCAGTTTCAGGGGATCCAACAACAATGTTTTTTAGAAAAAGAAAAAAAGGCAACAAAATAAAGTTACATTTTAGAGAAAACCAATCTTTTGATAACTCGCCTGAAGTTACAGCTTCAAGTATTGCTAAAGAAATTAGATTAATTAGTTATTTTATTTACTTACTTAACTTTGATTTTACAAGACAGGGTTTTTCTGTATAGCTTTAGAGCCTGTCTTGGAACTCACTCTAGAATAGGCTGGCCTTGAACTCACAGACATCTTCCAGCCTCTGCCTCCGGATTGCTAGGATTAAAGGTGTGCACCAGCACCGCCTGGCAACACCTGTCTTTAATACCTGTTTTCAATTATGTATATTCATGAATATGACTGGTAGGGGAAAATTTTGTGTGAATGCAGGTGCCCTGGAAATCCAAGGCATTGGATACCCTGGAGCTGGAGCTATAGGAGGTTATGAGCTGCTCAATGTGGGTGCTGGGAATCAAACCTGAGTCATCTACAAGAGCAGCAAGTGCTGAGTAATCCAGCCCCTAAACATACTCTCTGGATTTAAGCAGATTTGCTTAAATTGTGTGCATTCATCACCCTCAGCTTTGACAAACTGAGGAACAGAAAACCATCCATCCTTGCAGGAAGAAGATACAATGTATATTACTTTTCTATTGCTGTGATAACTGTGGGGAGACCAACCTATGGAAGACTCTCTTGGAGGTCCTAATGAAAGGATACAGAAAATTTAGTTGTGTGTTCTCGTCTGGGAACAGACTTGCAAGGCCGGTCACACCTCTTAAAAGAGTCAAGGTTGTGGTTTCTAAGGATTCAACTCTCCTTGGACTATGGTTATCAGTCCTTAGTTATGTCAGAGGTATCCCATGTTCTCTTTGCCAACATGTGTGGCTTACCTCTCTGCTGACCTATTCATTCCTCCCCAACCCCCACAAGTACTATATATGATGCAGTGCTGCTTAATAAACTTGCTTGGCATAAATCATCAGCTTATGCAAGACAGCCTGGTTCCAGCTATCGCTTTTACCGTCATTATTTCGAATCCCTGATCCTTTCACTCAACAGCTTTGTTGCTTGGGCCCCTTATTCCTCGGTTAAAACACTACATCCAGCTGGCTGGTGGTGGTGCATGCCTTTAATCCCAGTACTTGGGAGGCAGAGGCAGGTGGAGCTCTGTGAGTTCAAGGCCAGCCTAGTCTACAAAGCAAGTTCCAGGACAGCTAGGGCTACATGGAGAAATCCTGTCTCGAAAAACCAAAACCAAAAACATCAACAAACCCCCACCACATCGCCGACAACTTATTTGGGGTTTATTTGGGGTTTCCAGTGCTAGATGCATAGGAACCTATCATGTGGGGAGTAAGGTGGCAGGCAGGTAGGCACTGGGACAGCAGCTCAGAGTTCACATCTTGATCTGCAAGCAGAAGACAGAGAGGGAACACTGGAAGGTGCCAGTCTTTTGAAACCTCAGACCTGACCCAGTGGCACACCTCCTCCAAGGCCATACCTCCTAATCCTTCCCAACCAGTCCTACCAACAGAAGAGTCTTTATGGACCATTCTCATTCAAACCACCACATAAAGCAATAACAACTAGTACAGCCTTCTTAGTGTCTATCACTTCATGAAGTATTTTTCTTGTATAAAACCAAAGTTGTAATTAGGCCTAGGGGTGAACAGCTTTAATCACAGGACTCAGGAGGCAGAGACAGGTGGATCTTTGTGAGTTCAAGGCCAGCCTGGTTCTAGGACAACCAGGGCTACTTAATAAAAAAACAAAACAAACAAACAAACAAAAAAAAAAAAACCCTATCTCCAAAACCAAGAAACCGTCAGGCAGTAGTGACACACGCCCAGCACTTGGGAGGCAGAGGCAGGCAAACCTCTGCGAGAGGACAGCCAGCCTGTCTCAAAAAAAAAAAGAAAAAAAGCAACATGAAACAGGCTTGGCAAGTGCCTAGCTTTTTCATAGAGGTCAAAGTTTACAGGAGTCCTTCCTTAGTAAAATTTTACCTGTAACCCTAAATTGTAATTGTCTTCTTTCTCACAAAAACAAAGCCTTTAAGAGAGGCTAGAAGTGGGCAGTGGTGGCACATTCCTTTAATCCTAGCACTTGGGAGCCAGTAGCAGCCAGATCTTTGTGAGTTTGAGGCCAGCCTGGTCTATAGAGCTAGTTCCAAGACAGCCTGGGATACAAAGTAAAACCCTGTCTTAACCGCACCCCCCCCCAAAAGAAAAAAATGAAAAGAGGTGAGGCCACAGTTCTACTATCCATTAGAGAAGGCCACAGTAAAGTGTAAGCCTAGGGTTGGAGTGATGGCTCAGTGATTAAGAGCATTGGCTATTCTTCCAGAGGTCCTGAGTTCAATTCCCAGCAGCCACATGGTGGCCCACAACCATCTCCTGACCTCTTCAGGCATGGAAGCAGAACACTGTATATTTGTATATCATAAATAAAAACAAAAGTCACCAACAACTAGGATAGGCAGTAGGTCTTAGGTGATTAATTCAGGCACCAACTGCCATAGCAATAATTCCTTAAGCACTGACGTGTATGGTCTCTTGTACTTTTTAACACAAATTGACATTTCTCCCATATAAAGAAGTCACCTTGTCCTCCTGAATAGGGTAGTTTTTGTAAGTCCTTTGATAAGGAACAGAACGTGGGATACAGCATAAGTAACAATGCCTTCAAGGCCAGGTTAGAAAAAATGGCAACCCAAAGCTGACGTGTAACTCCTGATAGAGCCCCTTCCTAGCATTTGCAAGTCTTAGCATGGAAGAAAAAACAAAAACCACACTGCAAATATCTAGATAGCTATCCTTGACATCTGAAGCACAGGCCATATTGAGAGGCCATGTATAGGGAGGTGGCGAGATGGCTCAGCAGTAAAGAATGTCTTCTTCTAGAGGACCCAAATTAGTTCCAAGCATCCACATGGTTGCTCAGAATCACTTTAACCCCAGTTCCAGGGGATTGGATACCCTCCTCTGGCCTCTGAGGGCACGATGCATACATGTGGTGTACATGTGGTGCACATACATAATAAAAAGTTCATGTAGGGGTGGGAGAGATTACTCAGCAGTTCTTACAGAAGACTGGGGTGCAGCTCCTAGCACCCACATGTTGCTTCCATCTGTAACTCCAGTTCCAGATGAGTCACCTTCTAACCTTTGAGGGTTCTGGGTATGTACATACATATACGAAACACACTCAAACATACACATAAAATAAAAGCCTTTTAAAGAATAAAGAGGATAATTAAAATAAAACAAAAAGGACACGTGTGTTTCAAAGTTCCAGTAGCCACAGCTGACAGCACCTTCAGTTCCCAAACACATGAATAGTGAATAAAGGATCCTTTAAGGGGGCTTAGTTCCTGACCTTTATGCCACCATCAGGTGATGCTGTATGAGTCAAAACAGCTGTTGGTACCCACCCAATTTATAAAGTTGGGAGCTAAATACTGGCTTAATCCTTTCATTTTAGGTAGGGTCTTTTTGTCGCTTTTTTTTTTGTTTTTTGTTTTTTGGTGGTTGCTAGGGATCAAACTGCGGACTTTGCTCATATTAAGTTTGTACCCTACAACTGAGCTATAGCCTCAGTCCCTGTATTTTTTTTTACTTATTTTTATGTTCACTAAAATTTATGTGTGTTAGTGGTTTGTAGGTACATGTATGCCTACTATCTTCGGAGGCCAGGAGGTGTCTGTCCTGGAACTGGAG